AATGCCATGATGATCACTGCTATCTGGTACGCATACACTTGCGAGCACACTTAACTTCAGCTGGAATTTCTTCCTTGGCAAGATTAATTACGTCAAGCTTGGAAGTAGCAGCGCACATCAATCGTGCCGGATGGAAATCATTTTGCTCAATGCAATAGCCTCGCATCCTGTGGGCGCATCGGCAGGACGATTTCGCAGTCAACATAGAAAATGTCGATGTTTGGATGCTCGGTCGCCGATGCCCAACTTTCTGTAATTTGTCAACGTCAGCTAAGATTGCCTCTGCGACCACGATTTTCCTGCGGCACGCATGTGCATGCGCTCAATTACTTCCCTTAAATTGGGTCTGAAAATTAACATTATTTGTTGGGCATGAAAAAGTGGGGTGATTCTTTGCTTTGTATGATGCAAATAAATGAAGATTTTGGCCCGGTTGATTGAAGTGACACAAATCTACATGATGCAGATTGTCTGATTGTTATTTCAATTTTAGTTTTTTCATTATTGAACAAATAAAAACCTTTGTTGAAGCCTTGGTTAACACGTTTCGAAAAGTAAAAAAAACTGGCAGTTCCACATTGACTTAGAAAATGAATCAAAGAAGCAAAATGCACGAAACAAATTTTGCTATTCTAAGAGTTAAAAATGAAAATAAGCACCAAATAGTTTAATTACAAATTTACTGCGCGCATAACGATGTTCTTAAAAAGTGCCCATATAGGTCTAGTTCCCATACAGTCGCTAGCAGCTCCCTACTAAAGCGTCATGTTTTACTCTATTATCTTTCTAATAGTAAAGCGCCTTTTTTACCAGTGATAAGAACTTCTAATACATACTCCATTGTTGAATAGGACGGTATCAGAAGAATGCAATATATCTCTTGTCCCTATTTTAATGAGTCTCAACTACGAATAATCTATTGACCCTCTAATCTATGCCAGGAATTTTAGATCCATAATCAGTTTTCTATTGGTGATTAATGATAAGTACCGATGAATACTGACATTCTATTCTTAATGATCCAAAGAATAGCATCAATCACAACAGTCGGTGGGATTCACATCAAATCGCTACGGGAGGCAGCACGACTTCTCGATTTCATAACTCAAGCAATGCACGGAATCAATCAGCGGGTGTTACATCCAGAGATCCCGGGGGACGGTCAAGTTTTCCGTTGCAGTGGCTGTCATCCATCAAACTTGCTGAGCTCAAAGAGAGCTAAATTTCCGTGAGAGTTCATCGATGCGGCAGGCGGCTTGAATGCGGATAATGTATTCGCTGCTTGCACTCTGATTTATTGGCTTTAGGGAAGAGGTGCGGCGATCGTTACATCGGTCCTGGTATATAATTGAGAAGGAACAAAGAACTTTCTATGGTGCCGTATGCTGCAACACACATCGACGGTGGATCAGGTAAGATCCTGTTAGCCGATAGCAAATTCATGATGATATACAATTGAGTGTAAGAGGTAGTTTCATTCTGCGTAAATTCATGATCAACTTTCCATCTTTGATAAAACTAGCGTGGAAAATTGTTCATGGCACACCTAAATTAATTTAATTACTATATTGTTCTACTCCTGAAAAAAGTGTTGAAAGAAGTCTTTGGAAACATTTAATCTGCCTCACGCTTCAATTCGACCAGTTACAGTACATTAAAAATTTCCATTAATTTATTCTCTGTCATCTTCTGTTGACAAATATAACAAAAACTCAGTTTCAAAGCTATCAATAGTACTAATAAGGGTACCATTTTTACAATTTATTTAAACAAAAATATAAAAACTCTGCTCTAGATATAATTTTCAAGTTTCGAAACAAAACTCTGCAAGCAGTTGTTCAAATTTTGCCTACGCCACGGCGGATTTAGAAAAACACATTTGACAGGAGCTACCGTATCTGAAAAAAGTCTGTTGTTTGTGTCCATATTACCATTGCTCAAGCAGGGGTAGCTGGATTTCGCGATGACCGAAGCCCAGGGCTTAGGTTGCATGAGGCCGAAGTGCCTGGAGTTTGCGGTTGACAGAGCCCATTGCTCAGCAGAGGCAGCAGGTAAGTTGGCTTTCTTGGTGCTGTCGGAGTCCAGTCTTGGCGGCGATGATGGATTATGGCGAGAGACTGAGAGGCGCGCTCTGGCGGTCGCCTGTGTTTGGAATAGCCTGCCAAAACAAGGCCCGCTAATGCACGCCGGTCCACGCTATGTTAACACGCTCACTCTTGGCCGCTCGCTTCCTCTGTCCGGCTTGAAGAGGCCAGTCATGACAGACTTCAATTGCAGCGACACAAACGCAGCGCCATGATTGATGCAGAGGTTCTGGAACGGTCGTATTGATTGGAAACAATGGTCGGTTAGCATCCCGATGGTATATGATGGTCAGGCTACAGGAGACTTCAGGTCTCCACGAGAGATTTAATCTTCCTTCAGTTCACCAGTAATTAAAAGTGGTATTGAACCTTCGAATTGAAATAAATGATAGTGTCATGGTGTTTCTGAAGTAAAAGCATGATAGTATCCGGCAATCCTAATTTCTCTCAAGCATAAAAATCACGACATTAATGATATACGCAATATTTAAATGTACCTACTTTTAAAGTACGCGGACAAATGACGTCTCTCTTTGACGTCAAAGATCCTATAGGATGCACGACTCACGTGAGTTCAGAATTACTTTCCAGAATTGGTCATAAAAATATTCTGCACACTCGGACATTTGTAAAAAAAACTCGCTATTTTTATGTGGATCATATCTCGCGATGTGTTGACCGTGAAAGCTATAAAAAATATAACTCAGTACTCACTGCAGTGAGTTACAGAGAGCGCATTTTCTCGTCGACAAAAACTTGAAGTCATGGACAGACGGACGGACAGACAGACAGACAGACGGACATGGCGAGCACAATAGTGCATTTCTTTCATAAATGAGAAAATGCGCTAAAAATAATTTATTTCAGAGATGGAAGCTTCTAGGTTTCTGCTTATGAAAGGTAAAGCCGAAAGTTTAGAAAGTTTATGAATAATTTTAATTGTACATTTTAAATTTTTCGAGAACAAATGTATTTTCAATCGGCTTATTGAAAATTAGTCCTTATTTGTAAGTTAATGTGTTGTGTTGGAATTAAAGTACATCGATATGGCACATATTTGCTACAGAGCCTACATTTTCTTTCCATGAAATAGAGACACATTACAGACCACACACGCTAATTCAATTACCAATGTTGCACGGTAAACAGCCGTGGGCGTCGGTACCGTACCAGTCACATCAAAGAGATTGATCGAGACTTGGCGTGGGCTGCGTTTCTGCCAAAAAGTCCGCTTAAGCTATTCCAGAGAGATAACGTGCACTGATTTCAACACATAAAATCCAATATTCTAAGTAAAAACATTCAAATTATTCATGTAATGTTGAACAGTTCACAGTGCAAAGAAGAAAAATATTCAATTGCCATTTAATTTTTTATTAAATGGCCATTAAACGTCAAGATTTTAAGGAAACAGAAGCGTAAAACTGCCCAAACTCCGCACTAAGACATTTAGCATCGCAAGACTGGAAGAATTTCTCCTCGTCTAATGCGCTGGGAATAATCTATTTCACACCCAGATCAAGAAGCTGATGCTATTCATCGCACGATAAGCTCTTTAGAATACTTACGTGAAGGCATTCATTGTTAGCCAGCTCACAGAAGCGTCTGTCTGCAGAGAAGAGCATCACGCTCACCGGATCAATTCGTCACGGCCAAAGCCAACCAAATCCGAGCAACTACCAGAGACCGCGGCAGCCTGCTAGACTGCGTCCTTATCCTGCTGCTGCCAGATCTCCTTTGCGATTGACGTAATTCTGAAGGAAATGTCGTGCAGTTTAACTGCTCAAATATGGCAATCATGCACCAGTTTATGGCTCTTTGCAAACTTGGTGGACATACCAGGTTGCGTGACCTGTCTTACCTTAATTAGTATTAATTATTAATTGAAATATTCTGCTCTGTGATAACAACTAAAGTTAAGACAACAAGATATAAAGTGCTCCTTGTAAGCCAGAACCTCGTCAAAATTTATTATCGTCGATAAAAATCCCTACACCTAATCAAGCAAAACATTGTAATTTCACACTTCTTCAACTTATCACCGTCATGTAAACTTCATTTTTTGCCTACTTTCTTGGTCGCTGGACAAATAGTTTTATGCATTTATTTTTTTTTACATTTTTTCATGATTTTCAAATGCACCAAAATATGTGAATAAATGCTCGCTGGGTGTCTTTTAAGGCTGCTGCAGGAGAATTCATACGGTCTGGTCCTGGAGAAACCCAAATATGAAATAATGCGGACCAGGCAATAAGTCCAGCAGCTATCTCAATCAATCGTCAGTTATGGAAAGATCAGGTTAAAAAAGCCGGATCCCTATAGTGATCAAGTCCCGAAATGTACAAGAATCGGCAACAGGCCATAGGCTTATTTCTTCAGAGCCTAAAATTCTACTCTAAATGAAGATTTCTGAACTAAAATAATCAAATAATAATTTGAACTAAAAGTAATGAACTAATATTGCGCTAACTGTGAGATGCATAAACTGCGTATTTTCATAGGCGTTGTAAGGCGTAATTCAACCTCATGAAATTTCTTGTGAATGGCAACACCGCCGTTGATTTCGCCGAGTCATTGAAGCTGAGAAGAAACGAGGCTTTTCGGGGAGCATCTCTAAATAGCGGGAAATTTAGCGTGATCAAACAAGCGCCAAGGTGTGATCGTCTTCCAGGAGAGCACTGCGTGACAGAGCGTCTTGGTCGCAGTCCAAAGAATCTGTGACTAATTACTTCGAACCATTAAAAAACGAATAGTAAGAGTGAGAGACTTACGAAGCAGTTTCATGTGAACAGTTCATCTTGAGATTACATATTCCTGACAAAAATTTATAACATACTTTATTTGTAGTTTTTTCAAGCCTCTTATTGACGTGAGGCAAGTCTGCAATAAAATTTTCAGGATAATCTACAAGCGACATTAATCGACGAACGTATATTTTAGTTATCTTACATGTACATCACAATGGAATTACAAACTTCACAAGAGGCGCCACCACGAACAAGTGAGAGCTGCCACAGACACACCAAAGTGACATATTTTATACACCAAAATTGAAGAGGACACAACACTTGGTTGTTGCAGACCATGTAGGGGCGAAGGCTGACGTGTCTTCCATGCTGCTCACGAGGCCAGGGCAACAATCGCCAGATTTAATTAAGAAGCTGCCGCGCTAAGTTTCCAATTATATTTAATGTTTCTATACTCATTTCCGCATGCCAGATCAGGACTTAAATTTCTTCAAATTCGGCACAAAAGCATAGGATGTAAATAAACGTTAACATAAGAATAAATAAATAAATTCATACAATGGTATCTAATAACAGGATATCTGTGACGTTGAAAAAATAAATTCAGAATAATGAATTATAGTAAGGAATACGACATCCAGCTTGTGAGTACATACAGCTTTTCGAAGACGGGCGAGTAACAACAACTAACAGTAGGAAACGAATTTCGCCTGCTTAGAGTAACCGCAATTGAAAACAGAATTCATTTATCGCTAGTCATGAGCAAAGACTATAATGAATGCAATAACAAAGAGCTTACGCCATAGACGAGATAATCTTGCAGGTCTAATAATAGGACTAAGTTATTGTCTTGGAACTCCATGGTTCACACGACACCTCACGCAAAGCCTCCACAGGAACCGTACGGAGCTGCAACACGCAGGCCATTAAACCTGGTATCCGTTCTACTGTTCCAGCCAGCAATACGCTATCGGTTTGAAAGGAGTGGTCAAGCTTATAAACTACCACCTTATAATGAGACGAATTTGATTCTGGGCGTTACAGACGCTACGCTAAAACTCGCTGCAACGCCAGAATAATTAGATTTAGAGACAACTGGAATTGAGTGGATACTACACTTCACAGCAACCAAATTATCATTTTAATACTGGGACGAATACGAATTGACGATATGATATCAATGCAAGGAGTGCGACACCAAGTGCTGCCTCGGTGTTCAAACTAGAATTGATTCTCTCCTAGAGGAATGGTGTTTATAACTTTAAATCGGGAAACAACGATTTAGACATTAAGTAAATACAATTTTCAACATTAAGTAAATACAAAGATGAAATTTCGAAATAAAGCTCGATAACAAGTAAACAACAGTCTTAATGGGATCAAGCGAGCAATGTTTAACTTCAAACTCTTCGATAGCTGCGGTGCAAGTGCACGTCAATACAGAAATTGCAAAGACCAAGGAGGCTTTCTCTCCGCAGCCCCAATGAAGTGACAGAAACCTTACATCTTCATGCCAGACGACTCAACAACTGCTGCAAGGAATGAGCGTTTTACGTGAAAAAGTAACACTGAACATTGAATTTGACACGGGATTACGCGCTTACCTGAGGGGGATTGGCACAAACTTTTTATTTGCAACAGTCGACAAAACAAATTCGAACGCATGGGTCCTTAGCGATGCGGATAGCGATGATTAAGAGTGATGCATGGCGCACGGCAGGCGTCGGACACGTAAAATGTAAGTGCAACGAGAATGCTAACCAACAATAAATGCAGGCTCCTCAGCAACATCTAAAACATGCAGAACAATCAACACCTACACTATTATTTTATTGTGGGTGATTACGTTTTACGAATAATCGGTACATTATTCTACACGTCAACCAAGAAGGCTTAGCAAAACGGGCGCATCTAGGGTTAATTTTGGAATTAAGTAAATAATAAATTAATCTTAGCTGGTGTAACGAGTGTTCTTTAAACGTTCGTCATTGTTAAATCAAAAAAAGTGAGTGTCGTGAAGGGCAATCAAGCTAACGTGAGAATCAGCGGCGCGTCCCGCATGTAGGAAGCAATCTCGTGTCGTAGTTCAGTCGCGATGGAGACGCTGACAAACGCTATAGCCAGTAATTAACGGTCCTAGAAATTCAGTTTGTATTACCTTAACATAAGAGAACGTGACGGTGCATATAATGTTTATATTGCCTGCAGAGATAACACGCTCATTAAAACAGAGCATTGAATAACGTAAAGCAAAAGCCTGCAACTTTACAGCCGACAGTCGCTAGGCCTGAATTACTAATACTCAGGAGCCACCCCGTGTAGCTGCCAATCTATAATCGCCGAAATATACTTTTAAATTGAATTTTCGTGTCTTTACATTTTGAAATGAGTTGTTCAGAACATGCTTAACGCAAAATCTGCCTAGCTACTAAGAGAAAGGTAAACTGTTTTTAACCCAAACGCAACATTCAGAAGACGTAGAATTATTCACGTAATATTCCATTGTTCATGGAACAGTGCCATGGATAAAATCATCACAATAATTTAGACACCTGACCTAAAATCCTACTTTTTAACGATATTTTAGTTGAATAAAACTGGTAATAGGATTAAATACTTGTGTTAGCATGCAATACAACTGGGAAGCTAATGAAGGCCATTAACTTCGATGAGATGCATAACAAAGACGTACGTTCGATGCTTCTTCGATCAATACTGTCGATGGAAGTGATCAGGATTCCTCTAGTGGAGCCCAACGCTAAGTTATTTCACTAACGTTCGATGGCGGTTATCACGAAGATTCATACAGATATTAACATGACCCGCTGGGAGTTACGCAATCCCAAGTTGTCTTCTATCAAGACGCTACAAGTTAGAGGTTCTAAACGAGTTCTGTGAATGACTTGGGAGAGTTCGTACTAACAGTTTATAGGGAAGTTCGTTCAATTGCTATGAACGCTATAATCAGAGACGCTAGCGAGAGTTACGCGGGAGATCAATAGAAATAAAGTGGCACATGACAATGTATAAAGTTGGGCCACTATTGTGCCGTACATGATTCATAGAGATTCATGGATTATGATGCATGAATATTATGTCCCGCATAAATTCTTTACTTGGATAGCAGGATATGAGTTTTAGTATTACAAAGAGAAATTAACGCTAACTAAGCGCGTAATTGCGTGCTACGGAATTGTGAAAGAAGGCATTATAGGCAAGAGAAGAAACGGCATTTTTATCTTAGAATGTGCTTTAAAATGCTCGTCGTATAAAAATTCCGGCCTTTGTTGAGGATCCAATGATAATCCGAAAGAAACGACAATAAAGATGAAATTGAACAATAGTGAGCTCAGAAAGATCAGGAATAAGCATGTAGATACATTTGCCAATTCACAGGAGTCAAATTCTATGTGGTCATCTTTAATCTTACTTCACGATTTGCAAAATTAGCGAAATGCAAGAAAATCGGCCCCAATATGGAGACAACCCAGCGGCTAACGAAATTCTTTTTATCTGTAAATAAGATGCCCAATGTTAGAAGTTCTTGTTGCGCCAACTAGGTAGCAACACGCAATAGTTGCGAGATAATAAACTATCAAAATCTTTTTATAATTTATCTCCGTTATTTTTCTGTAATCATATCAACATGCGAGGCATGAACGTTACCTTACCAAATGTGTCCAACAAATAGGAAGTAAACACAACGAAAATACGGCATCTCTTGGCTGAAGCAACCACACTCGTCAACACAAAACAGACACCGAACCGTAAAAATTCTAAATAAATCTCATCATTTGGCTTAAACCCTGCAAGCAATATGGCAAGAACGCGGATTATTTCAACTTCAGTTCACAGGCAGCTCAATATCTCCGTGAAGGAGAAACATAATATACCACTCACTCCTAGACCTAACAGGTAACTCAAATAAATGTAAATTATCGTTTAATCTGACCAGACGGTGGCTCACAAATGTCCTAGAAATGATCGACTGCAACCGAAACAAACTCTTCAGTCTGGCCATCCGCGCCAGGACTATCAACACCGTCGACGTCCATATCGTCGTCTGCTGTTCCTCTCGAGTACAAATCTTCTTGGGACTGGAGTGCCTCTGCCCAGGCAGGGTTAGGTGCGAGCGAGGAAGTAAGAAGCTCATCTCTGTACGACGAAAGGTAAGTGTCAGCAAACGGGTTCGTGGGAAGGAAGTTAGTAGGAAACAACTTAGACGGCGAGGAAGCAAGTGAGGAACTCGAGTAGCTCAGCAACGAACGCGTTGAGGTTCGGTGAGCCATAGTTTTAGAGGACCGGAAACTAAAGCGCAGAGGAGGAGATCGGAAGAGGAAACCAGCAATTCTTTTGTCCATCGCAGATAGTTTAGTTCGGTTGCCGGTGGCAGTGGACACAGTGGTTGGAGTGGTTGTGGTGGTCGTTGCTTGGCTTGCAGGTGCGCCGCCACCAGCGGCGGGCAGACGCAGAAAGACTGGCCTTTCAAACTTGAGGCCTCGGGGGCCGCACAGCACGCGAGGACCGGGGGGCTTCTCACCTGTCAAAAGTAACGCCGTTAAAACCTCAATAGTTGTTTTACATCAATACATTACAATAGTTACATCAACTGTCAAAATGTAAAACAAAAATCAGAGGAAAAAGGGAGACGCAATAAAAAATGAAAAATACCGAATATAAAACGTATAAACCCTCAATTTTAATTACATCAACGTTAGCCTTCTGGTGCTTCACCTCGCTACGCCAAAGATTACTTCGGAGAGTCAGGGCACTCGAACGTGTGGAGACAATAGAAGACAAGTTTTGCAACGCCAGATCCTTCCTTGACAAACTGTACTTTTCAACCCAAGTTTACATGTCTATTTGAACTCGGAACCTACTGAATTTCTAGTTCTCAGAAGAAATAAATTAAGCCAGAAGTACTTGGATTGTATGCGTTCTGTTCATGAGAACCTTGTGAACACAGAAGGCTGCAAGTTAATTCAATAACATAAAAAAACTTAACGTGAAAAGTTATGAGAAAATATTTGGAATTTAGCATGAGAAATTTTTAGGAAAAACTTAGAGCTTCATTACGAAGCAAAGAACTCTGTCAATCAAACACATTTTGCCAACGCAATGCACTCGTATTTTCAAAACGTAATTAAAACGTAGGTCTGATTTGGATCTGCTCAACGAAAACATTTGGCAGAGCTTCTCGGAACATTATTAAAAATTATGATGCAGCCAATTGAAGGAAAGCCTGAGGGATAGAGTGCAGGAGTGAGAAGGAAAGTCATTCATGCAGTAAAAATTAATGCGATGAGAGCATAGAAACTATAGCTAGAGATCAACATCAAACAGTTCAACATGAATCAGAACAATTTTCACGCACACATTCAGCAACTGACAATGATTAAAGGCAAGTATTTCAAAGCATGCCAGAAGTATAACGGAGTCCTTTCCAGGAAAAGCGAGGCACGTTCCTGAAGTAATTATCAGATCTGAATTGTGCCGCCGCGGCGCTGCATTTAACGTCTAGCGCCGCGTTGTGTAGGTCCATCAGTAGGGGTACCACAGGCGAAAAAACCGAGCCATCCGATCCTGTCTTAATCTGTTTGCATGACTTTAAAATGAAGTATACTGATGAAAGTCCCGCCGACTGCAACAAGCGCCCAGTAATGTGTTGTCTCAGTGTGAGATTTCAATGCAGCTTGCGTACACCGCCAAAGCAGTTATGGTTATAGCGTTATAATATGTCTGATGTAACGATGCGGATTTAGATTAATGCTCATAAAGACGGCCGCGCTAACATTCATGATATGGAACGAAGCGAGGGACCTTCTCCTCTAAAGGAAGAGTTCGCGACAACCCGGGACAACACAAGCAACTACAATTTGATCTTTGCACTCGATCGATCTTGCACCAATTTCATGAGCTCAAGCGCTTGGCGAGGCGCCTCTGCCGATGTTGAAGTAAAAGGCGATGGCGTTAGAAATATTGTCCCACGCTACAATGAATGTCCTAATTATATAAATTATTGAAAATGATAAGTAAATTGTACATTCCAAAGTAAATGAATACTTTTCGAGAAATATTTTCTAGCTGTTCTTCATTCAAAAAATGGTACTTGCTAAAAAATATGCATGACATTAGCTGACGACCAATTGAGTGAAGGAATGCTCTTGGTCATAATAGTTCTGCATGTGCGGTGATACTTACAGGTTGTTGCAAGTTTGCGGCACAACAATTCAAAAACATACATTCTGATCTGACATACATGGCTGCCCTTTGGCTCATTCTCGGCCTTGCGTAAAGAAAAGCTCGGCTTCAACGAGTCCTCTTCTTGCATGGAGCTTCTCGATGGCATTGCGCCACTTAGGGACGACACGAGGAAACCACACACAAAACCCTCATTTCTTCCCCCAACAAAATATGAAGTAGGTAATGAGGGAATAAATGGTCTCCAATACTGAAGTCAACAAATTTGAACTCTTAAACAAATTAGTTCCATGTCTTTACTTTGCATGAATTCAATTTCTTTATCTCAAATGCAAGTATTTTTGTCATCTTAAACATATCGACATCAAAAAAGACTTAAACTTATCGCCATTCGTTTTTGACGAGCAGGAGAGCTAGATGATGAAAAAACCAATCCTTAATGGATACAAAAACACATATGAACATGATAAGAACATTCAAATCTAAAAGAATCATAAGAACATTCAAATCTAAATTCTGAAATTTACTCAAGACAGCCACAACACAGAAGGAATCTTCGACGGCAAATGACTTGCGTGTCAATGACCACGAATATTTCGTTCAATGAAAGGTAACGCATCTTTTTGAAATGAAGTCGTGGCTACAACTCTTGTCGTGGCAAGAGTTAAAAGTCGTGGCTACAACTCTTTGTCTAAAAACGGAGAATGTGATAATCCGGGCAAGTTACGAAAGGTATTGAACGACTCTAAATCCATTCGTAGATAAGGATGGGAAAAATCGAATTAATTATTAATCAAGAAACTCGCAGCTGTCAGCGCATAAAATATCTTTGATATCGTCATTCGAATCTGTGCTGATATGATATCTGACAGCAGACATCATTCACAGGGAAAAAAGGACTTAACACAAGAAAAAAATTTGACAATAAGACAATTGAAATGATAAGAAAATACAGTCGAAAAGAATAAACACGAACTATGAAGAAGCAAGCAGAACTGGTCATAATGAAACACGGGAACACCACACAAAGGAATACGAACTTCACAACAAAAGAAATAAAAAGTAGTTCTACAGGACACGCAGTATGGCGCCAAGCAAACATGGCTAGGATGATAACGAGAGGACGCCGCGCTCGAGGGAGGATAAGTTCACTAGGAGGATAATTATCATCACACGCATAAAGCTTCTATAAACTCGCTACCTTAAACCTACCAAGAGCAAACTGTCTAGCTATCGCACCAGAATGTGGTGCGGTTAGTGGTTAAACGGGAGTACAGAGACGACCGTAACAATGGCTGCACAGAACACAGGCTCACTGACCTTCATAACGATCAGAAGAGAGAGAAAGAGAATCGTCTTGACAGACTTTGAAGTAAACTTCTTGTACAGAATTAGATTTGATAGCTCCCTTAGGAATGAGCAGGGACACGCCTGTTGTATCACATGATAGCACGCCGCCCTGGTCACCGAAGTAACCGCGCACTGTCGCCTCATCGCCCTCTCCGCATGCCTCGTATCTGAAGCGGTAACCTCTTAATACCCCAACCTCTTAAAAGCCGATACCGTCATATTATTAAACCGCCCGCTTCGTTAATTATATCCGTCCCTTCTGTAAGTAAGAAAAGCGCTAAATAAAGTTGGCTTACTAAATCTTTCAGAACGTGCGAGTGGTGAAAAAGCATTAGATTTCCCGTCACCTAACCTCTTAATACCCCAACCTCTTAATACCCCAACCTCTTAATACCCCCAACCTCTTAATACCCCAACCTCTTAATACCCCCAACCTCTTAATACCCCAACCTCTTAATACCCCAACCTCTTAATACCCCCAACCTCTTAACACCCCAACCTCTTAATACCCCCAACCTCTTATTGCCCAACCTCTTTACGCCGACACCATCATATTATTAAACCGCACGCTCTATTAATTATATCCGTCCCCTCTGTAAGTAATAAAGTTGGCTTACTAAATCTTTCAGAACGTGCGAGTGGTGAAAAAGCATTAGATTTCCCGTCACCATTTTGAAAAAGTTATACTAACAGAGCTGAAACATGATGATCCGCAGGATTGCCAAATCCCATGCAATAGCAAAGAGTGTTAGTTTGAGTTAGTCCGTGGTAGTCTCAATATAAAGGGTTTCCTCAGTAACTAATAACACATCTCCTCAGTAACTAATTTACTCATCTCTTTAGTCTAAATTTAGTCATCGGAATTTTTCCATAGAAAAGGCACACAAAACTTATTCTATAGATATTCCTGGCTCAGAACGCCATGCTAAAATCGAAGGATATTTCGATCGAGAATTCCTTCTAACCTTCAGCGCAGTTTCGTAGTGAAGAAAGATAAAGTTTTAAAAAAATTGTCATGACCCAATGAGAAAACACAAAATATATCACAATGCCCTCATCGTTCGATCAAGAGCTAACACTTTAGACTTCTTTACAGTTCTCGAGTTTTTCTACTTACGGACATATAAAACAATAGAAATGATCAACATCAAAGAAGAACTAGCCCAGCAAGTGAACTGAGACTTGATAACAAAAGCAGCTTCGAAGAGGAGCAACGAGCAAACTGCAGCATTGCAGTTGTGCAGGATGTCATTACTGTGCTAAAACCAGTCATTTTAGCACAGTAATAACAATTCAAATAACTGTGATAACAGTCTAACATACAGGAAATCTGAGGCATAATGAAAACGCAAAAGATATTCAATATCGCACAAACTGGCGTGACTGATCCACCAAAGCGCGGCCGAGTGCTCGATGAGGCTAGTATGACAACAGACATGCATTTACTCAGGCTTTTTACACACAAAAGAGTTCGATGAATCAGTATAAATTTTCGTTCAAGTATTATAATGGTTGCCCGAATAATTTTACCACCTCAGATTTGGTTTTACCACCTCAGATTTGGCTCAGAGATTTGGTTTGTTTGATCTCCTTCAACTGAAAAATGACCCCAAATGCATCATTAACAAATTCAGTAGAAGCATTTGCTGCAAACAGTATGCACATTGCACAACTGCCAGCGTGTTTAGCAATCGAGACTGAACCAATGCTTCATTATATAGTGAATCATTGGCATTAATGTACCAGGAGCTGAACATAAGTAACTTCCAGCACATGTTCGCATAAACCTTGATTGGCACATATTTATCCCCTGAAAACTAAACGTAATATCAGTAAATAATCATTAGATAGAATGATGAGACATGCGTTCGTAAGGATTAGCGAGGTCAGCATAACACAAACGCCTGAGGGACCAGGATTACTGGGGCCTGAGCCCGCACCAGCAATCCACGCAGGACACGCTTCCTGTTGCGGCAAAAACTATGCTTCGTAACGACCACTCCTTCCCCTTCCACAAAACTGCCGTGGGCTGAGGTACAAACTGCCATGGGCTGAGGCACGAACTGCCATGGGCTGAAACACAAACTGCCATGGGCTGAAACACAAACTGCCATGGGCTGAGGCACAAACTGCCATGGGCTGAGGCACAAACTGCCATGGGCTGAGGCACCAACTGCCATGGGCTGAGGCACAAACTGCCATAAGGTGAGACACAAACCTGTTAGGATGACCGTCAGGACCAGGGAAGTAGTGCGGCTGCTGCTGAGGCTGTTGTGACCGAGCTCGAGGGTCGGTAGGTTTCTTGTAAAGCTCAAAGGCGCTGCCGCGATGGTCGTGGTTGGGGAGTTCCATACCAGGAGTGGACTTCGGGCCTTCCCCTCTGGAGCCCGGCATGGGCACGTTCAGGTAGAAGCCTTGCGAGCCCTGCGTCTGCTGCCACATAAACGTACACTCAAACGAAGGAACTGACTTTATCAAGGCCTTGCCGCTATACAATCCACAAGGCATCAAGACTTCAAGTTTAGTGTATAATGATTGCTTGAAATGAGCATCAATAACGGAGCATATTTCAATAGGTATTTAATCCAAAAGAAAAGTGTTCAGCGGAATAAAGATTAGAAAAAAGGTAAGAGCGACTATTGTGAAAAAAACGTGCCAAGATGCTGTGCCTCAAGTTTTCTGTCATAGACAGTTATGAGTAGAGGTTACCTGGTTTTCGCAGGTGCTACGAAGGTAAGCATATAAAATATTCGGCTAGAGTACAATATTTACAATGGGGGCGAGGATACAGAGTTATTGGTTTCAAGTAGGAGGGGGTCACTGGTTTCAAATTGGGTGAGTGTACAGCGTTCGGATTGGGTGAGGTTACAGTGTATGAGTTGCATGAGATTACATAGTACACATCATGTGTGAGTACCAAGTACGTCTGAGGGTACAGAGCAGCACAATCTCGCCCCACGGATGTATGCGCATAATATGTAATGCAACAAAGCCTGCACAGCGAGCTCACCTTTTGGTAGGGAGATTTAGTGAAGGTGTCGGCCTTCCTCTCAAGACTGCTGCCGTGGCCGCTGTCTATTGCACTGTAGTCGTCACTGAGGCGCCCGTTGCTGGCACCTAGCATCGTCTGGCCTTCCCTCGCCCCCCACGGCTGTGGCACGTCCCCACGGGGCTGATGGCGGGGCTTGGGGGGAGGCACTGGCTTGGCCATGCTGCTCTTCGGTGGCGGCGCAGGCTTCAGACTGCACAATAAATTCGGTGATACAAAACAGCATAACTTGGGGCATCATAACTTGCAATTTCGGCAGAACAAAATGATTGTTATTTCACAAAGAGGTATTGATGAATTAAAACAAAAGAAATGGTAAATAATTATGTTACACAGAAAATGGTCCATGATGTAAAAAATAACGAAAAATGATGTAAAAAATGTGAGATGAAGTCCTGGGTAAGCTCTTTGCCTATCCCGTTATTGAAACTAACTTCATTAGTGGAGCTGCAGTTTGGGGTTCCATCCATAACACTTTGCCTCTTTTCTTACCTTTACTGTTTTAGCTTTTGGGTTTTAATGCCTAGTTTTCGTAACGATTAACCTGTCACATAAAATCCCTTACTATCAAATAATTATTCTTATCATAAAACTTTTCCTTTCATCATTATTATATTAGATTTCATCATTATTATATCAGTGGGTTGTTGCTTATAATTTAAACATTAAGTGAAGGGTTCATCTCCGCGTGACATGAGACAGTGCGATGGCAATAATATCAGTAAGTCTTCACATAATAACTTTAGAGTCAAGAGTACTCGCTTCAAGGTGATTTATATGAAAGTAAGTGACTTGGTAACTACAATATCATAGAGTACCGTCATCTGGAGTGAGATTGGCCCAAAGTTAGGAAAATATTTATTGTGCTGCGGTGTTATCATGTGAGTCGAGCCATTACTGCTACCCATACAGTGATGCCATGCACTACATCGAAAACTCACGACATGATCACATTTTCTTAACATTGGGCAAATGTTACATTTAATGGTTCATCTCTCTCCGCAGACGGTAATCACTGTGATTTACTTATAAGTTAAGTAACATTTTCTTTAATCTGGAATTATTTCTACATTTATAGTAAACTTGTAAGCTGAAATGCAGTGCCAAAAATCTAGTAGTTTTCATGTTCGTAGAACTTTTAAAAATATATCGTTAGTAAAGTGACATTCAATAATTTCTACACATAGTTCAGATAATCTTAATTCAGATTATTACAGTTCAGATAATCTAAGTTACTGAGCAGAGACCTGTATGGATCTTCTCCATGGTACGCTGGGGGCTGTGATGAGGAGCGGGGATGGTGCGTATGGTGTTCCCCAGGCCTGGGGCGTGAGTGATGCTGGGTGGGATGTGACGCGGGGAACTGCTGGGTGCCGGGGGAGTAGTGGTACCTGCTCTTGAGGTCGTCGTGGGCATTGGGGCCGATGTTGGGGCCACGAGCTGGACCGTACCCCATCTGTGCAGTGGCATGGGTCAGCTTCATATACGGCAATATTTCTCACTAATGCAATATAGAAGGAGACGTTAGAGATATTTTTCGTATTGAAGATAGGTTTAGTCTACAATTTGGAGCTCTCGAGACTTGGCAAGTCTAGAGAAATTAAGCGTTACCAAATGATTCGCGTGGATATCACATTGCAACTTTTTCAATGGCTCGTGATGAACATGAAAAATCAATCTTGAATTTAAAATATCCCACTATTAGAAATAAATAATCAAGATCAATCATTAGGAAGAAACTAAACAAAGTTTCATTTCATTGTTATCATTTCTAGGAGAAAGTAAAAATATGAATCTAACAAAAAAGTACTTCAACTGCTAATTTCCAAACAAAAAAAAACGTCAAATGTCACAAAGGTCCAGAGGTTGTACACATAAATGTAGGACTAAGCCACCATAAAATACCAACACGTAACTAGTCTAGCACTAGAGTACCATAAAAATTTTAGTTTTATGATCGTAAGAAAAAGACAATGCAATAAAAAACTCTCTCCATGGCATTCGAAAAATATATTGAATCCGCAAAGCTGTTATTAGAAACAATCCTGGTAACCAATACTAACCTTCCTGTGCTGCTCCTCACGGTTATTGCGCGAGCTGTTCGTATAATTAGTCTCATATTCGCTATTAAAATTACGGAAATCGTTGCCGGACGGAGGCGGCAGGCGGGGCTTGCCCGGCTTATTGGACCTGTCGATCTTGGGGGGCGACGCGTCCGACTGGTCGTAGCCTGGACTGTGGATGCTGGGGGGGGCCTGACTACCCTGGGGGTTACTGTTACCGTGGGGGTTACTGTTACTACCCACGTGATTACCACTACTGTAATTACTTATACTGGAGACGTGGTTATTAGGCACGTAGCTGCCGTTATTTGGTACGTGATTATTGTTGTTATTGGGGATACGGTGGCCGGGGTTGGCAGGTATACTGTCATTAACTGGGTGCGTCTTGGGTGGGGAGTAGCCAGGCATGGATGTGGGGCTGGTGGCTGCTGGTGGGTGTGGGGGAGGTGGTTGTGGTGGATGTTGGTTGTGAGCAAAGCGAGGATTATTATTGGTGGAGGGCGTGGAAGTAGCGGCAGGAGCAGCATGGTTGATGCCACCATTATTGCTGGCACCGTTAGCAGGAGGTGGTGGAGGCAGGCGGCTGTGGTGACTAAAATGTGGGTGATGAACCCCGCTGTACGGGGAGGAGCTTTTGTTGGGTAACCCATTAGGGACTGGCTTCCCCGTCTGCTGGGGACCATAGCCATACGTTAATGAGCTGGGGGGAGATGAGGAGTAGGGGGGCTGTCCGTAGGGGGATGTGGAGGGGGGAGGACTAGACCCGGTAAGGGGATCAGGGTCTCGCGGTACAGGAGGGGGATGTGGGGGATGTGGGGCATCGTCGACAGCTGTGCCCCCAAACCCGTACTGGCTGTCCCCACCACTTGGGGCTGTCTTGCTGGGGAGGCCTAAGCTGCTGTCGCCAGGTGCAGGCTGCGTGATGAGTGCGTGAGTGCAGTAACAAAAACCAATCAATAACTAAATATCAATCAACAAAAGTACAATCAATAACTAAACCATAAACACACACTATGGGCAACGATCAAATAAAAGATTAATAGCCAAATTAATTCAAACACAATGAATGTAAAAAATAATCGAAACGTATTGCAGGCATTTAAAAACAAGCAATTCTAAAGACAAGCAATAAATAAATACATTTTCAAGGGGTTTTCTACACAAAATAAAAATTCTGACGTTCATTAGATTGCAAGTACCTCATTTGAACATAATGGGTACGACCTATTATCATAATAGGTAGAATAATATATTCAAGGAATAGGTAATAAAAAATGGCGTGCCTTGCAATGGCTGCCAGCATCCCAGTGAAGAACACAAGAGAAGCTAACTAATATCAACAAGATACTTATAGAATCATCACCTTAAAACATTCGCGATCCTTCAAATTATAAAATAATAAAATTCAAGAACAAAATTTAATATTCAAAAGAAAATACTAACAAATGAAATATTATCTTGCGATAAAAAGTTTCGTTGAAGATTATAAAAGGAATATTTCTAAAAGGCAACGAATGACAATGAAATTGTAACTGTGCAAATGATAGGTCACTACAGCGAGCTGAAACAAAGAAGGGAGGCTCAAAAGATCTTAAGTGCACCACAAAATACGGAGCATCTCAAGGAAGCAACACTCACCGACAGCAATGAAACGAAAATGGAATTTAATTGAGAAGGTGAAGTAACTCATTGGAATATTGAAATTAAATAAATTATTGTTTCGTTGGTTAAAGAAACGTCACGTTAAGGAATAGGGTTGGTCCACTCAACCAAAACAAGCAGCTGAGTCAACAACAATGGTGACCAGGGTCGCAATGTCTCATGGGTATACTTACCAAAAATGTAGACCTGTTGAATGTATGGCAGTCGGACTCTGAGAAACCGTTCTCCTGAACCAATTTAACGGTCAGTGAATACAGAAAAACCTGGATCAGAGTTACCGTGGCCAACGAATGACGAATGCCCAGCGAAATAACGTGTCCTTAGCAACGAGAAAAAAATATAACTCAGTACTCACTGCAGTAAGTGACAGAGAGCGTATTTTCTCGTCGACGAAAACGTGAAGTCACGGACGGACGGACGGACGGACAGACAGACAGACAGACAGACAGACAGACAGACAGACAGACAGACGGACGGGCGGACGGACATGACGAGCACAATAGCGCCTTTTTGACATAAATGATGAAATGCGCTAAAAAGGAGACAACCTTGTTAACTTACAGGATTACTCACCATCCTGTTAGGACTTGCTGTGTAGGGAGGGGGTGCGGCGCCCATGTTAGGTGCCCCGTAGGAGTAAGGGCCGCTATTGGGTCCTGAGTGATGACTCGATGATAGTTCTTCTGGTGCAGCAATGCTGGGGTCAGACGAACTCTTGACAAGACGGGACCTTTGGGTCATGAGGTTTGACCCATGGCTGGGGGTGGGGGCGCCCGACGTTGACGGAGACTGGGTCATGGGTGAGGACGGGGAGGACGAGAGGTGGGAGGCATGGACGGGTGTGTGGGGGTCAGAGCCGCCCTCCAAGTCAGACTCTGGGGAAGACGCGTACGAGAGGCGGGACGTCATCGGGAAGAGGAAGTCGTCCGAGAGCGCCTCCGAGGGCTGCTGGTGGCAACGAGACGGGGGCGAGACGGGGACGAGACGGGGGCGAGGGCGGGTGGGCGAGACGGGGGCGAGTAGACGAGACAGGGACGAGACAGGAGCAGGCGATGCAGGGACAAGACGAGAGCATGCAAGACAGAGGCAGTCGAGACAAGAACAAAAAGATATAGTCAAGAAGAAGACAGAACAATCGCAATTGTGTTACGGACAACGGGAGCAAATGAAGGGGGCAGGCAGCAAGCAAAGTAACAAATAGTAGCATAAATATCAGGAAAGTGTAAGACACGGTAAACATCAGGCAAGTACAGACACATAAGACAAACAGGATCAGCAAATGTCAACAGCCGCACAACAGGAGCAGTGCATGAGCAGGAATATTACACGAGTGAAACCAATAAAGTTCATAATAAAGTTAAGATGAGGCAGCAACGCGCGTTGCAGGTATGCAGAAGCATGCAGGCAATACAACGATCAAGACAAGCACGCATGAAATGCATTCAATTTGCATAGGAAGAAAATAATTGTCATGCAAAATAATTTCAATTAAAAATAGGAAAAAATAAATATTTGAAGGTTAAATTCCAGAAGGTAATAAAAATTGTAACAGAATTGAAAGAAGAAAATATGACGAACATATAAATTAGTTAAAAGAAAGATTCATCCAAGTTTTCCAAGTTAAGTTTATTGTGAACGATTCCGATGGAAGTTGGCAAACAAAATGGAACATTGCAACAAGGAAAAAAGTTGTTGTCACAAAAAGACAGAATTTATCAAAAGAATAGGAAGCACAAGAGAAAAATTTCCCAAGTTACATGGAATAAGCACAAGTGGTTGGTATGAATCATCGGTGGTTGATAAAATTCGTCAATGGTTGGTATGAATCAGCAATGGTTGGTACAGCCATCGAAACGAAAAAGAATGCATTATAAAATGCATTCCAAAAAGAAAAGAAACAAAATCAGAGAATGCATTCGAAAATGACTTAAGGGTGCGAGGTGAAGATAGATGTAAAGATAGGAGAGAGAACAGGATGCGCAGTCGTGGAGATAAGACGCGGTCCGGAGATGCGGGGAGTTGGTGCAGGTCCAAGGTGTCCAGGAAGAGCGCCGCATAGAAAGAAAAATGTTCATTTAGAATAACTTGCCTGCAACATCAAGGTACGATTGAGAGGATTTGCCGAGATATGCAAGACCAGTGCCTAATAGAGTCGTTAAGGAACAACTCGAGTACGCCACTAACGTGGTCGAATATGTATCGAACTAAACATAAAAACCCACATGCAGTTTGCTAGATTAGCACTTCTGTAGCACTGGAGTAGCACAAAAGCAGCAATGAGTTGTAACATATCGATAAAGAAGTACAACGATGAACGATTGGAAAATAGCAACGACATAAAGAACCGACAACCGACACGCGTGACGTGTGCGAATGCGAACCTCAAACAATGTTGGCAGTGCGAATAAGCAGCAAGGAACGATCTAATAAAAGTTGGACCATCATAGAAAACATGATTGCATTCTAGAGCAACAATAGCAAGACATAAAAACGTATTTCGGAGCAGTTGGATGACTTACAGTGATTGCCTGTGGAAAAGATAGCCAGCAGCGCTGTCCAAACATTCTCAGAGAGGAGACCACAAGGTGCCTCAATACATAATGATTAATTCAAGAAAGAAATACATGAGAAGACAAAGTGACGAATTAGTTGCTAGAGAGAAGCGCGTTACAAGTAAGTAGTTCCTTCATGCAGCGTAGGCAGCGCGTTGCGGGGGCCGTCATGATACTTGAGCTCCTTCACTCGCGCCGCCGAGGAGCGCCAGGCAGACGCGCCTGCTCGCTCCTCCCTGAGCTTGTGCCACATCATGGCTCGCTTGTCATCAATGTTGGCGTTGGCATCCCGCAAGTCGTGCGTTTGGCTCACCATCGCGTCAATGTAACGCTCTTTAGGCACGTAACGCGACTCGTCAGAGTCACAGAAGTAGTTTAATCCTTCCATCCTCGAGTGGTTCTGCTGAGCTGCGTCCAGCTCATACCGCATTGTGTCCTCCGAAACATCTCTCAAGTATCTTCGTTCACCGCCATCGTGTCCAGAATTTACCAAACTTGTTCCACCTTTCTGATAATCTTCATTGAACAATTCTCGAGATGATACATGATATTCTTGCGGACTGAGCATCTCTTGAGAGTCCTGAGGATGAAGCTCTTCAAAGGGCATATCGCCGGGGTGCTCGTGCTTCTTCAGCCCAGTTTTGTAAGGCAGGAAGCTCGCTCGAGAAGAGAACAACCTGGAAACTTTATTGGCCAGCGCCGGCATGACCGTCGGCAGCAGCTGAGGAGGTTCCTCTGGGCTGCTCGGCCCCAGCCTCGCCGCCGTCAGGTTAAAGCCTCTGCTAATGAAACGCCGGGGCTTGGGCGGCGGTTCCGGGGCAAGAGGAGCAGGGAACTCTTCTTGGGACTCCGAATAAAAATGAGGCTGAGGGGATGCAGGAGACACGTACACTAGGGGAGGAGTGGGGGGAGGAGGTGTAGACGATGGCGGTAAGGGCGGCGGTTGTGGAGGTTTGGTAAAATCAGAATCGTCGAACAGTGGAGACGATGAAGGAAGAGGAGTAGGAGGGAGTGATGGAGAGCGTGATGGCAGGTCGTCTCTTCGTTCAGCAGACGCTGGGTAGTCGGAATGCAGAAGAGGAGAAGGCTGAAGAAAGTTTCGAGTCTCCTCCTTGGACGACTGGAGAGCTGAAGAGAGCGGCTGGGTGGGAGCCAACAGTCCCGGAGAGAAACCGTCGAATGGGACGGACTCTCCAGCTAAAAGAAATGAATCGCGGCACACAGGTAACGGCTACACAATCAAATGAAGTCCACCAACAGCTGAACGCAAACAAACATGCACTCAAATGCGTTACAGAACGGAGGTAGAGAACAAGGCAGGAGAATAAGCGTGCGCACAAGATGTTCCAACTTTCCGACAATCCGATGATCGTTCAGTAAGACATCGATCAATGTATTGGTTATACAGGTTGACTACAAGACACATTAATTTCGCCGCGTACAGAAGTCTTATGAAACACTTCCGGCGCATTTAAACACGGAAATCGTACATGCGGACACAGGATGCGACACAAGAAAGAGCAACGCCAGGCAAACGAAATCGACGAGTTGAACACGACACAATTGAAGCAATTTACAATTCAATGTACAAAAATATAATTATTGATAGGCAATCAAAGAACACACTAAAATTCTACACCTTTGGGAAAATTATAAACAAGTAAACCTGATCTTTAATGTATGATGAAAGCTAGCCGTACATTTGGACAGCGATACACGCTCAAGATAATCAACTCTAAAACATTTGCGGAAGTTGGTATGACTTAATGATCCTGAGCTTTAACAAGCTCGCAAGTTGACATGCTACTAATGAGTAATCGTTCTAATTCAAGAGCTGCTACCAATGCTACGAAAGGCTACAATAATTTCAAATGATAGCTTTCCACATACCGTTCAAATACTGATAAACTTTGGACTAGTCTTGACGCACCTTGCTCTGGGCCATCCACACAGGCTGGGCCTGATGCTGGGCAATGGCCTGGGCCAGTTTACGGGGCCAAGTGTCGGGCTGCGTCAGGGTGAGGGTCGACGTGAACACGTGGCCCCACAGACGCTCCACCTTCAAGCTCTGCTCGAACAACTTCTTGCTGCTCTGCCGCCCTCTGCAAGTCACGGCAACTCTTATTCTCAACACTAGAATTTCAGCGCGTGATCAACAAAGCAGTTCAATTTTAGAGTTCAATTTTACTGTGTACGGTTTCATATTCTGTGGAATTATCTTTAGTTTTAAGAATTGTGTAGCAGATGTTCTGGTAACATCGACTGAGGAAGAGAAGGGGCATTTTCCAAGTTACAGACATTCGTCGATTATTACGAAGCCAGCTGCTACTAGGTGAGCTCCTAACAACTTCTCTATTTTTGTAATAGAAGAGCTGTCTGAAATGTATTGCAAATGGTGTTTACGTGTCTGTTTTATTTAGTTGTTTCTATTATTTTGCATTGAAATATAGGTTTATTTGCAGGGGCAAGAAATCCACTGACGAACTTCCATCCTCAGCTTTGGAACTCTAGATTAATAAACTCTCTAACTAAACAAATTATCACATTCTTCGAATTGAAGAATCAAGTTACCGTCATGTATAAAATAAAAAGAAACATGAACTGATAAAATTCATTATATTCTGTGTTAACATTAGAGAGATCGCAGCGGCTTCCTGACCTCATCGGTTTTCGAAACTACAAATAAAATATTTATAAAGGGTATGGCGATGGTTTACACATTCAAAGCACCAAAAGTAACACTAAAAAAGAAAGTATTCAAATAAATAGAAACTCTCTTGACCATGTGTAGTATACATACGAGTCATGAAACAAGAGTGAGTTGTAAGGAAATGACGCTAATCTCCCCATTAAACATCAGCTGGTGGTCAGGCATTACATGTCTCAGGTATGCAGAGAAATGCTGTAGTTATAATGAGCCCATTTACCTACCATGCTATTCCCTTCAGTGGCTTGATCGCTTACTTAGGGTAGCCCGCGCGCATCTCCTTGACGGCTTGCTTGGACTCGACCCTAAGGTAGACGACGATAGGGTAGAACTGCGCGTAGTTGAGGCGGTCCACGGCGCTGGGGGTGATGTCCAGCACCGCGTGCTTGTTGCGCTCCACGATCTCCCTGATGGCGCTCAGTCTGATGATGCTTGCCTGCTGCTTCTCGCCGTTGCTGTCCAGCTCTGAACACACAATTTACAAGACATTCAACTGAAATGTTTAGACATAATTAGATCTTTTGTTTATTTGAGAAAAATGTGCTTGTCTGGGCTAGCTATCGCAGGAAGGTGGTTGCGTAAATGCTGTAAATTTTAGAAACATGAATTTTTAGCATGAAAGCCAATGGTTACGATCGCGATGGGTAATAAACACTAATTGGTCACTAATGATTTCTCGTTCATGGTGTAAAATTCAAGCATGAAAACAGCTAGAAATGTCATCAATAATTCGCGTCAATCTCAGGTCTTAATTGACCTCAATTGACAGTTCAGGAAAATAACAGCTTACAAGGAAGTGCATGCCAGGACAGTAAGAACAAAGTAAGTTCTCAGGGATAGGAGAAATACTGACGAGGACTTGAGAATTTGTCGGGGTTATCGGCGAGAAGTTTGGTCCTGGCGACGTCGGCGAGCGGTCCGAAGAGCACAACGGGGCGCACGAAGCCAGGGTGCTGCAGCGACACGCGCTCGTATGCAGGGAACTTGGACACGGACTCGCCGAACATGACGTCCTCCCAGTGGTCCTGCGTGCACCGTCAGCTTATGAGGCATGATATAAGACACGTGTGTGGCATAACCATGGCTTCATAAATCAGGACATGGATAGTGTAAATTTACATGGAGTGTGAAATACATAATGATGGAGAGCGAAAAGTATTTGAAGAGAGTGCAGGCTGAGGAGAGAGAGAGAGAGAAAGACAAAAATAGTCTTTATGATTGGTGAAGAAAGAATAAAAAATTAGCGAATGAAGACTAACCATAAGGAATAAGTAGACTCTTATTTCTGGGCTGCCCATTTTGTGTGATATTGTAATTATTGAATACCCGTCTGCGTGGTCTGATCAGATATCTCTCCTTGCATTCTATTCTAGCCATAGGAGTAAATATGACGAAATCAAATCTTATTACATAAAACCTATAATCCCAGTAGCTAAGCTTAAACCTTGACACACTCAAGCAACCTCAATACTAAACACAACGTGGACGATCATATCTTGTGATCACACAACAGCAGGATCAGTTCTTGGCAGGTAGGACGACTGGTTAACAACAACTTGGCTTGAGTAGCGAGGTTAGGTTCAAAGCTCCCAGCAGTCATGTGTGGAATCGGCGATAGGCTACATTTGGCTTTATCAACGCCGACGCCACTATTTTTGTTGCTATTACTACTACCGCTACTGTTACTGTAACTGCCGTTACTACTTCTGTCAATACTACTATTAACTATCCCTATTATCATAACAATTAGTATATCTGACTTTTCCTAAGCTCTTGGAGCGTCGCGAGTTGCGTCTGCGCTTGAAGAAGCCGCTGCGAGACTCTGACTGCGTCTGTTCCTTCTTGGCTGCGTTGAACTGCGCCGTGGCGAGCTCCTCGGCCCGCGCCCTGTTCGGGATGGTGCCTCGCTGCGTCTCTTGGTTGTTGCGGCCTATTCGCTCCACCTAAAAACATCAACGCTATCACTCACATTTGTCTTCACAATTCCCTAACATAAAAAATAATTAGATTATGCCAGAATACATTTCTGATATTTTGAATAAATATTGTTCATTGTGTATTTGATGAAGTTCATTATTGTTCTAGGTTGACAGCCTGCTAACCAACCTGCCAAGCGCCCACCACGCCGCAGTGCAAGGTGTCCACGACGCGGAAAATGTCCCCAGATCGGAAACTCAGTTCGCCAGTTCCCTCGGGGTCATAATGGAAGTGGGTTCTGGGACAATATTTTTTTGGAATTATGATCCAGACAAATTTCTGGTGCACGGGATGAGCGAATACATCTCATTACTTCATTTGTTTCAACAAATGGGCTCTTCGACAAACAAGTTTAAAGATCAATTGAACTCGGATCACGATTTATATGCATGACACAGACGTAATTTGAGTATCGCTTCATGTCTGCTCTACTTGACTCACTTTAAGTAGAACAAGTCGTAATTTGAGACCTGCTTCATACCTGCTCTACTTGACTTACTTTATGTAGAACAAGTCGTAATTTTAGACCTGCTTCATACCTGCTCTACTTGACTTACTTCATGTAGAACAAGTCGTAATTTGAGCCTAGCTTCATACCTGCTCTACTCGACTTACTTTATGTAGAACAAGTCGTAATTTGAGACCTGCTTCATACCTGCCCTACTTGACTTACTTTATATAGAACAAGTCGTAATTTGAGACCTGCTTCATACCTGCTCTACTTGACTAACTTTATATAGAACAAGTCGTAATTTGAGACCTGCTTCATACCTGCCCTACTTGACTAACTTTATGAGTTTATGTAGAACAAGTCGTAATTTGAGACCTGCCCTACGTGACTTACTTTATGTAGAACTCATACCTGCCCTACTTGACTCACTTTATGTAGAACAAGTCGCCCTTCTGAGATGCCAGTATTTGCTGGTAGTCGAAGAGGCGCGTCTGTACGAGCAGCTCGATCTGGTCCTGCTGACTCATGAGGTAGAGCACGGCGTCCTCCCTCGTCATGTTCGTCAGGTCCATGTCGTTCACCTGGAGTTCAGTACAAATTGCTATAAGGGAACTCAAACTCAAGGCTTATATAGCAGAAAAAATTATATCACAGAGAGAGAAGGTTTACATTATCTTGAGGCAAAAAATATACACTTAATTTCCGTTGACTACCGCCCTGTTGTCACGGACCGTCCACTACCGCCCTGTTGTCACGGACCGTCCACTACCGCCCTGTTGTCACGGACCGTCCACTACCGCCCTGTTGTCACGGACTGTCCACTACCGCCCTGTTGTCACGGACCGTCCATTACCGCCCTGTTGTCACGGACCGTTCACTACCCTCCTGTAGTCACGGACCGTCCACTACAGCCCTGTTGTCACGGACCGTTCACTACCCTCCTGTAGTCACGGACCGTCCATTACTGCCCTGTTGTCACGGACCGTTCACTACCCTCCTGTAGTCACGGACTGTCCACTACCGCCCTGTTGTCACGGACCGTCCACTACCATTATACCATAAGATGATACTGCCAGAAGCAACGACATGCGATGTCAGGTCTTCACCTTCAGTACTTTATCGCCCGGAACGATGCCCTGTAGTTGGGCTTGGGACCCTGGCTGCACGGCGGTCACGAAGATGCCCACTTCATTGCCGCCCGTCAGTCTGATGCCCACGCTGCCTTCCTTGCGGAAGCTCACGTACCGAGGCTCTGGACTGGACAATGCAAGTTTATTAGTCAGAGACTGATGTAAACAGCGAATATGCACTGAGATGAACATTAGTGAGAGACTGATGTAAATAGCAAGCAAGCACTGAGATTGGTGAAGAATTTCAACTAATTAAATCTAATCATTTTTAATATGACAACATTGAAAACCGGATGATGAAATAGCAGCACCGGATATGTCAATAATTTGGTTAATAGAATACTTATGAAAGAGCATGCATCAATTTTTAGGAATGTGTGAATGAATATTGAAAAAAATATGAAAAACGATTCCAATAAAATAACAAGACACTAACTAGATATCCCCAAGACAGAAGAGCAGAAGAGTATCACCAAAACAGATCGGAAGAACACACACAGGTTAGCTGAAGGGAAGGTTGCTACTGAAAGTCGCATATCTGTAAAGACTTTGCTGGGCGTCATTAAAGTGTTAATGTAACGAGCGAAGGCGAAAAAAACGAGAGTACGTTTCGTTCATTCACGCCCAAAATCAGAAAGAAAGGCCTTTAAATGAAGAGAATAACAATTAAAAGTGGAGGTGAATATAAATTTAAACAAAGAACCGGTAAACAGATTATAAAAGCATAAAATGAGCATAAAATACACTCTTGGCATAGCACGAGCGCTGCTGAACTCACACAGACCCCTGGGGCTTGGTGGGGGAGCCGTGTTGCGTGTTAGGGGAGTTAGGGGGACGCTGGGTATAGTAATCTTCAGGTCGGGGAAGAGGAGGGCGAGGGGGCAGAGAAGCAGCACCGTTGTCGGTGGGGGACGCAACACCCCCGCCCTCACCGACGCTGCCATACTGAAAATCCGACGGCCCTCCACCAGCGTACCTAGAGCCCCACATGCATGGTAAGTCACTTTGAAATAATATGTTCTGTTAAGTAGCGCGGAAATATCCTTAACATTAAGCTGGAACTTCTGCAGGTTAAGACGAGTCAGCCTCTGCGCCCGGTGTTTAGTTTAGCTATGTTGCACTAAGAGGCGCGTTGCACGAGGAGTGTGTGTTGCACCAAGAAGCATGTTGCACCAAGAAGCGTGTTGCACTAAGAAGNGGCTATAAAAGTTATTGTTGAACATAACAATAACTGAGTAACAATTTGGCAAAGTTTAATATGTCCTGACACAGGAAATAAATAAAAAATAGCATCAACCTATAGTGATATCTCTCTTTATAATGAGCATTTTGGAGCATGCAACTAAAGCATTTCATTAATATCGCATAAATAAAATGATATAATAATGAGATTATGTGGTAATGAGATTATGAAGTACCGGTAATGAGATGATGGTGTAATGAGATGTTGTGATAATGAGATGATGGGGAAATGACATGATGGGGTAACGAGATGATGGGGTAATGAGATGATGGAATAATTATATGGGGTAATGAGATGATGTGGTAATGAGATGATGGGGTAATGAGATGATGGGGTAACGAGAAGATGGGGTAACGAGATGACGGGGTAACGAGATGCTGTTGTAATGAGGTGATGGGGTAATGAGATGATGTGGTAATGAGTTAATGTGGTAATGAGATGATCTAATAAGGAAATGATGTAGTAACAAGATGATGGTACCTTTAGCTGCAGCGGCTGGAGCGCCCCCAGCAGCAGGCGTCGCCTGTCGCCGCACGACCAGCTGCAGCTCCTCCTTGTGGCTGTCCAGCAGCTTCCGCGCCTCCTTCAGGCTCAGGTTGTCTGCCACGTCACAATGCTATTACACTTAACATCATTATTGCATAACTTGACATAACTGTATGAACATTAGGAAACGGTAGAAACACTACAATGTAGCGAGAGATGCGCTATAATGTAACGAGAGAAGCGCTATAATGAAGTGGTAGAAACATCGTAATGTAGCAAGAGATGCGCTATAATGAAGTGGTAGAAACATCATAATGTAGCGAGAGAAGCGCTATAATGTAGCGAGAGAAGCGCTACAACGATATGGTAGAAACAAAGAAGCGCAGCTCCTTTATTCCAGATTGCGTCCGCTTAACCATGTAAATATTGATGTGATGTGTTGATATTGAGCGTAAGGAGAGGCAGGATATTTGCCTCGACCCAACACATGATCTTCACAATATCCTAACAGCACTCAAGATCATAAAGTGTACAACTACTCTGAGTTAAGTGGTAATGAGATGATCTAATAAGGAAATGAAGTGGCAACAAGATGATGGGTACCTTTAGCTGCAGCGGCTGGAGCGCCCCCAGCAGCAGGCGTCGCCTGTCGCCGCACGACCAGCTGCAGCTCCTCCTTGTGGCTGTCCAGCAGCTTCCGCGCCTCCTTCAGGCTCAGGTTGTCTGCCACGTCACAATCTTATTACACTTAACGTCATTATTACATAACTTAACATAACTGTATGAACATTAGGAAACGGTAGAAGTGCTATAATGTAGCGAGAGAAACACTATAATGTAGCGAGTGAAGCGCTATAATGATGTGGTATAATTAAAGAAGCGCAGCTCCTTTATACCGGATTGCGTACGCCTAACCATGTAGATATTGATGTGATGTGTTAATATTGAAGGTAGGGAGAGGCAGGATATTTGCCTCGACAAAACACATGATCTTCAAAAGATCCTAAAAGCTTTCAAGAACAAAAAGAGTACAACAACTCTGAGTTAAGTTTAGCCGGTGTAGTACATATAGATGCAAGTCATGCCATTAGCTTGCACCACGCAATGTTATTCTTACGAGTACAATTTTATTCAATGTTGTTACCATGCAACGTTATTCTTACGAGTACAATTTTATTCAATGCTGTTACCACGCAATGTTATTCTTACGAGTACAATTTTATTCAATGTTGTTACCACGCAACGTTATTCTTACGAGTACAATTTTATTCAATGTTGTTACCACGCAATGTTATTCTTACGAGTACAATTTTATGCAATGTTGTTACCACGCAATGTTATTCTTACCAGTACAATGTTATTCAATGTTGTTACGACGCAATGTTATTCTTACCAGTGTTGGAGTTGTTGATCTTGACGAGCTCGTCGCCCTCCCGCAGCTGTCCGTTCTTGGCTGCAAGGCTGCCTCGGACGATCTCCTTGACGTAGAGACGGCAGCCCAGCACCACGCCCAGGTCTGCGAGTGTCTTGTGTTAGTCACATACTACGCCACGTGTAGCAATGCTCAGGCAGCATCGGTTAATACTCAATACTCGAGCATCATCGGCTCATAGTGATATACTTCACCATCGGTGACTGCAACAGTTGATAAGTACCTATCAATTTACCCTAGGGTAAATCAAATACCTATCAAATAGGGTAAATCAAATCAAATTTATCTATCAAATAGAGTAAATACTCAATACTTGGCATCATTCGGTCATAGTGATGTACTTCACCATCACGGTGACTGCAACGCTTGACAAGTATCAAAGCTAGAGCACAATAGGGGTAAATACTCAATACTTGGGCATCATCGGGTGATAGTGATATACTTCACCATCGGTGACTGCAACAGTTGATAAGTACCTATCAATTTACCCTAGGGTAAATCAAATACCTATCAAATAGGGTAAATCAAATCAAATTTATCTATCAAATAGAGTAAATACTCAATACTTGGCATCATTCGGTCATATTGATATACTTCACCTTCTCGGCGACTGCAATGGTTGATAAGTATCAATGCTAGAGCAAAATAGGATAAATACTCAATACTCGAGCATCATAGAGTAGTCGTGATACTTGCCTAGCACTCTAGCAGTCATCGGAATGGTTTAAATGTATCAGTCCTGATACTCAACTACACTCAATCACTGTCAACGGTATTACAGTGCACCTTTTAATTTGACGCCTTCCCTCGACTCTGGTGAGTTGAGCAAGTGGTTACAATCCTCACGTTGAGGCGAGTTTAGCAGCACATGGCAATAACATATTTCTATTTCTAGTTAGCCTCGACCTCTAACTGCATTTAATAAGGCTCTCATATGCGAGGTTTGCTTATAACGAGCTAAGCTGGAGCAGCAGTACTTATCCTGCCTCAGCTCGGATGTGCTGGTGACACTTGCCCTCTTTTTTCTTGGTACGAGTGAGGGTAATGGAGTGTGTGAGGGGAGACGCATGAGGCAGCACCACGCGCCGCCGTACCAGCAGCTGTACGCTCGCCCCAGAGTCGCGCAGCACCTGCACAGCGCGCGCGTACTCCACGCCCTCCAGGTTCACGCCGTTCGCAGAGATCAGACGGTCGTTCACTCTGCACACAGGTAACGTCTCAACATCGCGCTCTATAATATACCTTCATTATGGATAAAATAGTACGTGAACGCGAGCGTTAATTGGGTTCCTTTGACCGGAGGCACGTTTAGGCGCCTCTAGATTTTGTATACTTTTCTACCTGAACCTGAGGACAGGGATTCGTTGACATAAGTTCGTGACTAAGTCAAGGATAAGTAAGACACCATCTATCTGCCTAGAGAAGTTATCTTGATACGGGGTGGTCATACATGAGAGTTATAATAATGGTATAAGGCTAAGACGTCGACCGTTAGGTCGGAGTAGCTCTAACGCGAGTTACAGGGCGGCGTACTTGTCTGTTATTGGGAGCCTCACTACGTATCCCAGCCCTTTTATAGAGTTATGACTTCCGGCCACTACTGAGGTCTAGACCGCGTGATCTGTCACGTGATGATGTCCATGCTGACTCAGGTCTAGTACCTTTCCATCTATCTTTACCACGTCTAGTGAATATTACGTTTCAATTACGGGTGACCTAATCTTAGAGTATAATTATAATGAATAGAATTAGACGCCTGATTGACTCGGGCACCTTCAATCAGAAAAAGACTGCACTTCTTCAGATGCTGTGAGATTCGCTCAATTCGAAAATTTCTATAATTTACATAGACGTCGAACTTTGTGGCTCAATGTTATCATGTTATTAGTTAGTAATATCAACTTATATAGGTACTGAAAGCGTTTTAAATAACAATAAAGATTCAACAAATTATTCCACTATTTTGGACTACAAAAATGAATATGCAAGTTTCCTATTTTATCATCCCGCTTCAAAAAAGACGTCAACATTTTTTAATTACGGTAATTGAACCGACAATCGCGCGCAACAAAGAAGTAGGAATGTAACTTTATACTTTTAGATCCAAGTTTGCATGAATGCATCCTGTATAAGATAACCACACGCCTGTTCCGGTCATGATGCATTCCATTGATATCAATGAAGCATTCATTGACAGACAAGGCACATTGTGATGCGTAGTATGCATTGATTGCAGACAATTCAACACACCAAACCCAGTCACGGCGATTGTCTACTCGAAATAAATCCCCTTCCACTCATACGATTACCCTCACAATCTTTTCCCTGTTGCTGCTCTTACTCGAGTTTGCCCTCAGCAGGTCCAGCTTTGAGTACGTCCGAGATGGCGATGGAAGGATCGCCGTTACGGAAGTGTGGGTTATCGCGACCACCCGACACCGCGATACCAAACCCAAACCGCGGCACTCGAGTCAGGGTCACCGTGCGAAACTCCCACACGACACGCTCTCCTCCCTGCAAACCAGGATACACTACATAATCACAAGCCATTTCGTGGAATTTATTTGATAATCAGTGATTGACAGAGTTCGCAAGTACTCTTCCTCGTGGGTGGCTTCAAGATAGCTGGTTAAATGTTCTGCAAACCAGGATACACGAGATAATCACAAGCCATTTCGTAGAATTTATGTGATAATCAATGATTGACAGAGAAGTAGTTCACAAGTATGCTTACTCGTGGAGGGCTTCAAGGCAGCTGGTTAAATGTTCTGCAATGTGGATAATCACATGACATTTCCTAGAATTTATCTGATATTAAATGATTGACAGAGAAATAGTTCACAAGTATGCTTCCTCGTGGAGAACTTCAAGGCAGCTGGTTAAATGTTCATGATTTAGACTGGGGGGCAATAGTGAAGCTCGAGGGGGACGCGTATTGTATAATGATTTCCACATTTCGTGGAATTTATCTGATAATCAAAGATTGACAGAGAATAGTTCACAAGTATGCTTCCTCGTGGGGGGCTTCAAGGCAGCTGGTTAAATGTTCATTATTTAGACTAGGGGGCAATAGTGAAGCTCGAGGGGGACGCGTATTGTTTAATGTCAAGGCAAGGCATGTATACATGTTCGTCTGAAATTCTTAAAATTTAAAGGTGAGCACAAGTAGTTGAGGAATTAATTGGAGCGATTACGCGGATACAGCCGATATGAGCAAAGAGGGTAAAAAATTTATAAACTATAACAAATACTAGACTGAAAGATCGTATATGGTTACTAACAAAAATTAAAAGTCAAAGTAAGTCGAACCACGCTCATGGAAGGTTGTCTCCGTGCTATTCTGACATGTACTGGTTGGAATAGAATTTGAATTATCTCTAACGAATAGCCGAAAATTTCACGAATGCTTTGAATGAATCATAATCAGTGCACTATACTCGTATAAGTCCCTTAACCTCTGTTGATCATCAAAATCATGACCCAGCAACGTAAGATATCTTACCTGAGCGTCACCTCCAGCCTCAGCGTTGCTGTCCATTTTCATGTTTGCTCATAAGAGCTTCAGCAATTCAGAGGCGAAAAATCAACGAATCTCCGAGCATAGAATACAAACTATATACATTAACTGAGCATATTACACAAGGATATATGTGATTATTCAGATGATCTGAGCGAGCGTAAAATAAGTCATCACTCAGAGCAATACACATTGAATCTCAAAATTTGGTCTCAATTAGCGAACAAGGTGAGCAGAAACGTTGATAGCAGTGGGGTTCCTTGACAATTAACTTAGATCTAATTGCTTCTATAGACATTGTTCGTGCGACTGGATTATCACACAGAATGTCTGACAAGGGCTGTACTGAAAAATATAACTCAGTACTCACTGCAGTGAGTGACAGAGAGGGCATTTTCTCGTCGACGAAAACGCGAAGTCACGAACGGACAGACAGACGGACGGACATGGCGAGCACAATAGTGCATTTTTTTCCATAAATGAGAAAATGCGCAAAAAATGTCACAACTCAATCTTGTGCGAAAATGCTGCCATAAAAGATCTTCAAACTTTTCAATTTCAGAGTAAATAAATATGGTTTATTTTTTTCAATTTAGGTGTAGAATACGGAAAGCTGCATGCTCAAACGTAAGCAATCCATTCTAGTTAATGCGGGGTAAATGATGCATCGAAGACTTGAAATATGAATTTAGAAGCATTCTCGTCGCTGTGGACCAAATACTTTACAGAATCTTTTGGTTAATCTTTCTAAAGAAATAAGCGGCCTCGAGATTTGTACTGCGGATCTGATAGAATTACAAACGAAATCCAAATAAACATATACAATTTTTGTAATTAGTGATCAACAAATATTTTAGTGAATGTATTCCTAGTTTCGACAAATGCATCCTAATTGCGTTCCCATAGCGTAACCGCAATCCCTATTGTTATTGTCTACACATTCTACTTGAATTAGGAACATCACACGTTTATAAGGTTAAGATCTACGTGACGTCACAGCAATTAGACCCCAAAGCTCGGTAAATAAAATGGCACCCGCATAACAAATACTCGCAGAGCGGTCTATCATGTCGCACTCAATTCGCACGCCACTCAATTCCCTCCGTCGGCATCTGTGGAGTGCCATATAGTTGAGGACATGACGGAAAATAACTATTTTCAGATACACGTGAAATGTTTGTAGTATGAAAATGCAGAGCACTAAGCGAGAACGTGAGTGATGAAGGATGTTCAGCTGCGTATAACATATACCGTATAACATATTATATTATACCGTATATATTATATTAACATTACCGTATAATATAACATACTGGGTCTCCGAGAATCAAGTGGCGAGGCGAGTTGAATGCGATGAGACAGGCCGTGATGTGAGCATTGCTTATGTGACAACATGCGGGCGTCATTTTCTTTACCGAACTTTGGGGGACTTGTTGCTATGACGTCAAGTGAACGCTAGCCTTACCAACGTATGCTGTTCGATGGGGAACACGAAACATACTGAAATAATTGCAGTGAATATATTTCACGTTTGTTCTTTGAAGTTAAGAACATCTCTCCCAGGTGAGAAAATTTTAAAATTCCAATAAAAGATGACTTGTGACGAGAAAGGTAAATTAAGAAGTGTGCGCCAAACATAGAGGGATGTTTGCATTGTTAAGCGGCAGCAAGAAAGCAAATGAGGGAAGATAGAGGCGCTCACGAGTAGAGGCAGCGCCCTGAAGTGTCCAACACCTGTAATGAGTGTCGCTTCCTCTCGCGACGGATGTGCATCACGTCCAAGGAATGCATGTACACCGCTAACTTCTCCTGCCTGAAATATTTCACACGAAATTGCAGAAATATTCAAAATATTAGCACTTTCTATTAAATAGTCAAACGACTAGTTCAATGCTTGCACCGTAAGCCATTAGGCGTGATCAGATAATAAGCCATTATTTTTCCATAAATGAAAAAATGCGCAAAAAATATCACAACTCAATCTTGTGCGAAAATGCTGCCATAAAAGATCTTCAAACTTTTCAATTTCAGAGTAAATAAATATGGTTTAATTTTTTCAATTTAGGAGTAGAATACGGAAAGCTGCATGCTCAAACGTAAGCAATCCATTCTAGTTAATGCGGGGTAAATGATGCATCGAAGACTTGAAATATGAATTTAGAAGCATTCTCGTCGCTGTGGACCAAATACTTTACAGAATCTTTTGGTTAATCTTTCTAAAGAAATAAGCGGCCTCGAGATTTGTACTGCGGATCTGATAGAATTACAAACGAAATCCAAATAAACATATACAATTTTTGTAATTAGTGATCAACAAATATTTTAGTGAATGTATTCCTAGTTTCGACAAATGCATCCTAATTGCGTTCCCATAGCGTAACCGCAATCCCTATTGTTATTGTCTACACATTCTACTTGAATTAGGAACATCACACGTTTATAAGGTTAAGATCTACGTGACGTCACAGCAATTAGACCCCAAAGCTCGGTAAATAAAATGGCACCCGCATAACAAATACTCGCAGAGCGGTCTATCATGTCGCACTCAATTCGCACGCCACTCAATTCCCTCCGTCGGCATCTGTGGAGTGCCATATAGTTGAGGACATGACGGAAAATAACTATTTTCAGATACACGTGAAATGTTTGTAGTATGAAAATGCAGAGCACTAAGCGAGAACGTGAGTGATGAAGGATGTTCAGCTGCGTATAACATATACCGTATAACATATTATATTATACCGTATATATTATATTAACATTACCGTATAATATAACATACTGGGTCTCCGAGAATCAAGTGGCGAGGCGAGTTGAATGCGATGAGACAGGCCGTGATGTGAGCATTGCTTATGTGACAACATGCGGGCGTCATTTTCTTTACCGAACTTTGGGGGACTTGTTGCTATGACGTCAAGTGAACGCTAGCCTTACCAACGTATGCTGTTCGATGGGGAACACGAAACATACTGAAATAATTGCAGTGAATATATTTCACGTTTGTTCTTTGAAGTTAAGAACATCTCTCCCAGGTGAGAAAATTTTAAAATTCCAATAAAAGATGACTTGTGACGAGAAAGGTAAATTAAGAAGTGTGCGCCAAACATAGAGGGATGTTTGCATTGTTAAGCGGCAGCAAGAAAGCAAATGAGGGAAGATAGAGGCGCTCACGAGTAGAGGCAGCGCCCTGAAGTGTCCAACACCTGTAATGAGTGTCGCTTCCTCTCGCGACGGATGTGCATCACGTCCAAGGAATGCATGTACACCGCTAACTTCTCCTGCCTGAAATATTTCACACGAAATTGCAGAAATATTCAAAATATTAGCACTTTCTATTAAATAGTCAAACGACTAGTTCAATGCTTGCACCGTAAGCCATTAGGCGTGATCAGATAATAAGCCATTAAGCCGTAATAATGCCTACAGACAACGAGATCACGTCCAGCACAGGACACCGCAATGACGCGCGACGTCACCTCAAATCAAAACACGAAGGAAAAAGCAAAGCAGTAAGCAGTTTGCGGCATGTCCGACCACGCAATGGAATGACAGTCACAGTTTCCGTGAAAATTTTCGAGTTTAATATGGCTAAGACGAAACGTTGGATAAATAGAAAAATGTGTCTTCTGTTCGCTTTACAAAGCAATCATTTGTACGACTATAGCCCAGTCGCAAAGAATCATCACCAAGCAGCATGAATGATGTTAGAATTTAGTGACACGCTCGAGCCTACGATGCGAGCCCGGCGATGGACCGACCCAACAGATCGGAGAAGAACGTCCTTGGAATTTTAGCCGAGTGTACGACCAGACAAACAGAATTCAAATGTTGCACAAGAGCTAACACACTTCGAGAATATTTGGACGGTATGGCGATCCATAGACACCGATAAACCAAGAGATCCTATAAATGGTAAGTGACAGACACACGGGACACAACATATAGCGAAGCACACGCTCGGCAATGATACATATAAAGGGCTCGTGTGAGGAGCGGGAGGCGCGACACCCTCACTTGACAATGTTTCCAGACCCACTAACCTGTCGTCTCAGACTCTCAGCCTGCCAGGCAAGGCTCTGCTGGACGAAGGCTCTCAACCGCACTCAATGAACACCATCACTTGTATCACCTTCCTTCACCATAACCTTCCATCCACTACCTCACTTGGAAGTCTCCATGGCAGTTAATCCTGATAATCTGACTTAGTTGCGCAGTCGCCGATCCCAGCATCACTTCACTTTGCTTCTACCAATTATGTTGCATCTCAGAGTATCAATTTAACACTTAGCATGCCGGTTCTCTTTGATAAAATAATTCAAACAAATAATAAATTGAGCACATATATCGTTCACCACGCAAAATCACTCATGTAGGAAGAAGCTTGAACTTACAAAATAAACGTTTTTTAAACAAAATTTACATCTCAGGCGATAATACCTTCTATATTAATCAACACGATACAATTGAATGCTTTCAAAAATATATTTTTATAATATTGCTTCAAATTGGATGCAATTAATTTAATTTCCTACAAGGCTAAAACGTGAGCACGTAAACAGGATCTAGATCTTTATCCAGTCTCCAGTCCTGGAAACTTGGAACGCACCAGCAATCAAACAGCCAGGGGGGCTTCGTATGTTGGGTTTGAAATCAGCAATCCACTTGGAGGAGTTATTCGCCTAAAGAGAACCGAAAGTAACCAGTCGGGTAGTTTTAACCAAGTATCTAGGAAAAAATACATAAACAGATTTAACAAATGGCCGCATAACTATTTAAATATATCATTTTGACTTTCCTAGACATGGCAAAATCAACAATATGTAAACAATTCTCAATGCGCGTACCATATGAGCTGTAACATCACGGAAGAATTGCGTGGCAATACGGAGACAAGCTTCGACTGTCACGAAAATGAAGGCGTGGAGTGCGAGGAACGAGGCGACACAAGCCATGTTACAGCGAGCAGCGAGGCAAGGTTTGGCTAGTCTATAGCGCTTCACTAATATGCACACTATCTCAACTAACCTTGCTAAATACCAGTCTATTTGAGAACATATAAACGTGGCCTGATAATGAAATGAGAAGTAATCAAGATATTCTACTTGATTACTTTAAATAAATGTATTATTATATTACTACATTATTTTTTAAATTAAATTATTAAATGAATTTATATGTATTTCTTATAACTAAAACAACATATTTTTCAGTTCAGTTTAATCGATTAGTCTCAACGTTAAAAAAAATATATATTCAGTTTAATCGAAGTTAGTCTCAACGCAATGGCAACAGAACAAGAACCTGGTTATATGACCCTCCAGCAAACCCTTCTGTCATTACTTAAACATTTTTTTACCAGCATTTCAATAGCGGTAGAAATTATCTCTCAAGCATGGCACGCAAATGCCATTAATTTTCTACGAACAGTCAGATTATCGAATATTTAGGAGAGAATGCACGTACCAAAAAAATAATTTATAGCACAAATCTTGAGAATTTCAAGATTTTCCGAAGATACATTGAATAAGGCGGTACCAATGGTGGGGAGGGAAGGACGAGATCCACGCACGACTCTACACCAGTTAACAGGTAGCCAGGGGCAGCTTATACCTGCCTCCCCTTCCCTCCCACTTCTCACATCACAATAAAAAAGAACCTCCAATTCGTACCGCCTCACCACATACTCCTAAAAAATATCGAGCTTGTCAGCTGCATTCGTAGAGTCTGTAAACATTGAGGTTTGCCGCTGGCCCGTGATGAGGACTTCCATCATCGTAAAGGTGACGCGCGTTTAATGATGAATATCAATAGCAATATGAATAGTAAATTTATTTGTAATACAAATACAAAAAATGAAGGATTGAAGCAAATGAAGACAGTGATAATAATATGCAGTTAAGCAACATAAGACGAGATGAAACAGGGTATACCATCGTATAAGAAGGCGAGTCGTACGAATAGGTTTTAACTCATGAGCATCAACGTATTGAAAACCTCACAGCGTTCCGTGCAAAAATGTTGTTCATCAAAATAATAACCATAATCAAGATGAAGCATTTTAACATTGGTGATCCCTTGAAAGATCGTGAGCACCTAAGGCCTCGAAGAATAAATTCGATAGAACACAACGGACTTGTGTAGTATTGGGGCAACTGCCGATGATACAAATGCACCTCAAGACGATCACCAGGTGTCGGCTAACTAGAAAGGCAGTTAAAAAATCAACAGCGGTGGACTGCACCTTAACTGTCCAGGCCGCGATGTGCATTGCGACATTCCATTCACTGCTTCCACGCAGCTCAGGTCAGAGTAGGTCGGGTCAAACTTTATGCAGTTCACACAGTGAAGGCAAGTAAATGATCACTAATGAGCGGCAGAGGAGCGAGAAGTGAAGCTGTAGAGGCGCACACAAACAATATTTTTGGAATGGAATTTTGCTAGGAACCGATAAACTGAGTTTGTATTATCAGATGATGGCTTGAAATTAGTACAGTGAATACGATCATTTTGTACAGGCGTTATCCGGTTACTGTATATTTCTGCTCGATCCAAATGGTTGCTCCGACTAAAGCAAAATATATGCGTTATACTCTTCGAAACTATCATAGAGAATATACATACGACCAAATTATTTAAACTAAACAACAATAGCTAGCAGTGAAAATAATCCACAAGCAAACAGTAACAGTCACTGTAATCACTACTAATAAATATTATTTAGACCGCATGGACAATCAAAATGGAATTTTTGGTTCCTTTAACGAAAGTTATTCTAGAGATGTCTTAATATTTTGCGTCGTGTAGGGAATCAATTCATAGCATAAATGGCACTACGATCATACTCACTCAAAAACTTCTACAGTAATCAAAAGTTTTACTGGAAAAAATCAAGCTTAATAAATGTGCAAGACTCACACGCTGCCTCGATGAGGAGCGGCCATATCTGCGGCTGAGTCGATGATGGCTGGAGCGGCGGCGGCTGTGGCGAGATGAAGGCCGCTCGCCCATAGTGCCAGCCAATTTTACGATCCCTTATTGTCCAACTCGCACTCTCTTAGTTATGCTACTTCACTCCTTGACCGTTTTTGCTTCTGTATAATAACCGTCAAACTTTCACGTTCGGTTCGCGCAAAAGAATCATTCTAGGAACGGTTTACGCTGTGCAAATTGTTTAATACATAATGGATGCACTCGCTTGCGATCAAAATTACTATTTTCTTCTTCAGAAAATGACAAAATGTTAATTCAAAATTGACGTTAGAGGACGCTTTTCGTATCACGACTTATATGACACTGCTGCTCCTTGTCTACACTTAAGTTTAATGCTACAAGGTTTTAGTACATGGTAGCGTGAGTGCGCATGGAGCGAGCGCGCGCGGCACACAGACGAGCGGCACAGCAGATGCCCGCCAGAGCGCAGGGGCGCCGGTAACGTGATGCCGGGCACGGGGGCGGACACCGCGTGATTAGCGGCTCTGTCTCCTCGCACCTACCGGACTGTGCGGCTATACCATACATTCCATGGCGGCGAATGAGGGACAAAAATATGGCTAACCCATACATTCCATGGCGGCGAATGAAGGACAACAATATGGCTAACCCGTACATTCCATGGCGGCGAATGAAGGACTCCTTTAGAATAATTCTCACATTTTTAATTTAATGTTATAATTTACTGAGAGAACAGTGAAGAACGCGGTCATTAACTAGCGTATGTCGATCTAGTTTTGTTTCGAACATCAATGAAACATTGCAGAGCATTATACATTTCAAGTACCAATTTTAGAAAAAAAAATCAGCTTTAATAAACAACATGGAAACTGTTGTTGTAATTTCGAGACGACACATTACCCTTATATTGCGCAAGACATCGGAGCTAATCACTTGTAATAAGAGCAGAAACTGTACGCAGCCAAGCATCGCAACTTGTTGTATTGCGACACTAAATTCTAAATACTGTACAAATTATTAGCGACATGATGAACATTGAGAAGTATAATCTGCGCTAAAATTGTTTAATGGCCGTAGACTCGGTGGTAAAGTCGAGATCCAATGGCGAGGTCGATTTTTTCAATATACAACTTTGTAGCTTGAAGCCATGAAAATGCCTAAACTGATGCACCGCAAACTACCAGTGTAGTGGATGTATGTTGAACATGTGCACTGATGCTTAGCACGACAAACTGCAAGTGTAGTGATAATTTGTACGCTTGACTGGAACTATAAAAGGGAGATTTCTTGGTCTTTTTCAAAAGTTGACGTTTAAGCATTTTCTTAGCGCGGTCTCATTGATCTTTAATACAAATACCTGAATTAGGTATAAAAATACCTAACAGGATCCTATAACACAGAACATCTACACTCGCCGATAACCTGAAATAAGAACTTAACGATACAAATAAATCATTATTAATTGATTGAATCCTGACCTCCTCCTCCTCGACGGGATCCTCCAGCATCTCCGTGAGACCTACGGGCGTGAAGCCGTCACTGTAGGCGTTCACCAGCCTATTCAGCGAGATTTCCCTGCAATGAATACAGTTAGACAGTATTAAAACATTTATTCTTAGAATCAACCAAGAAATGAAGCAACCACAAAAATCCAACGAGGAAAAACGAATGTGCGAAAAATTGCTAAAAACTCCATCAACGATTAAAGTTAGAATATTCGGTCGTGATTTCAAGAAATTTCGGAAAAGATGAATTTTTCATTTATTTGAAACGACAACATTTATTGAAACGACATATTTGATACTTCGAAGGCCTCAAATTAAACACACCACACGCTGAATGACGTCACACAAGTCGGAACAAATCGAGCTTCTTCATTCGTAATCGTAAAGGAATGAGAAACAATGGGATTTTTCAAGCGTCATGAGCGACAAAACAAAACGCACTAAAATGCCTGTCATTGCCCAGGACTTTACCCTTGTCAATCTGCATTGCAACTGCGAAGACATCGTTGGTGTCAAGAGCAAACTCATGAATAACGTATTGGGGCAGCGGGGAGTTAAATGTGTTTCATGATGACGATTACACCCAGTAACCATGCACACTTCAGATGCCCACATATAAACGAACAACATTCCTAATATAAAACAAAAGATTAGAAACAAGAATCAACTAACCTGTTCGATGCTTTGGCTGAGGAAGCAATCATTTGATTAAATGACGTGGCGTCGTAGTAATTTTTGTAATAGGAGAGTTCATTTGCGCCTACAGACTTGTCTATAGGCTTCGAAGAAGGGGCGGGAGGAGGTGGCTGATCAAATATGGACTCGTCTTCATATATCGCTCGATCAGGCTGGTTATCCAAACACTCGTTGGCATTGTCGAGTGACTCGCAGCTGTACATTACTGAAGATGCCAGGGGCACCCTCGCGTGTCCGTACAGACCTGAATAGTTCAAACTCGACGACCGTCCTTTCCTACTGCCTGCATCATCTGCATCCATGTAAGCGAAGTCGTCGTCTGTCAATTTTGAATCAATCCTAGAATATCCATAGTTGTCCCCTGCTGAATATAAACTCGGTTCATTGCTTGCATCGTAACCAACGGACTCCATAGACATCACTGCTCCCCCGCCCGAGTAGCGTGAATAAGAAACTCCAGGGTTTGCAAGAGGATTGTTCATCATAGTGAGCGACGTAGATGATCCACCGAATGTGGGACCAGTCGGGAATGGCGGCACAACAGTTCCCATGGGGAGAGCAGCGTGTAGAGCCGACATGGCGTAGGGCTGTGGTCGGTCATGTGGAGGTGTGTGGGAGAGATAGGATGCCGGGACTGTGGCGCTCAAGGGAGTGTCTGGCCGCGGCGTGTGGCTGGTGAGCTCGGCCTCCAGAGGAGGTGTGTGGGCCAGGGCGGCGTACGAGCTGCTCCGCGTGCCGTGACTCAGGGAGGAGTGCCGGCCACTCGGGGGAGCCGTTCCAGGAGTGCCTGAGCCCACAAAACATATATGCAACAAAAGAAAACAAAAATTCAGGAGCATCTAAGATTATTAGCAGAATTAAATGTCTGTAAAATATGTAGGCTGGGCAGCATGAAATGAAAAAAAATTACTGCATTTGAAATGGAAACAAATGATTATAATCAGAATTTATAGGTCACTTTTCCTTTAGTTTGAATGAGTAGAAGTTCATTACATAGACTAAATAGAATGTAAATGAATGCTAGGAATAATGTTCAGGATTGAAGGCCACTATTTAGCCAGCTACCTGAAGAGGTGACACCTGTGGCCCCATCCTTCAAGCTGAACTCACGGCTGCCTGAGCTGAAGCTGGCAGGTGTGGCCTCCCGAGGAGAAGGTTCGCTGTCATGTGGGGCAGCACTCGTTCTACCTCCGCCTGCAGCACATAACTTACGATACAAATGCCATGTGATTTACTTGCCCAATACAACAAATTCAGAGACACAAGAAGCATTCTGTTTAAACTTAAAGTATGATCCTATCACTTGAACACTCCTAAATAATTGAATGCAACACCAATTAATTGAAAACATGCAATGTGTTATCAAAAAGATCATTGAAGAAATAGAAGAGCAAGTTTATTTCCAAGTTAAAACTGTTATAAATAGTAAGGAAATTCTAAGACAAAGCTAAGTAAGGAAAGATAAATATATACGATAAATATATACAATAAATATATCAATCTTTATGTTTATATAATATATATAAAGATAAATATAATATATAATGACCTGATGATGCTTCTGTAGCTGGAAGTCCTCCTGCAGCTTTGCCATCATCAGGGGATGTGCTGCAAGAACTCATCCCAATGTCTTCACTCATACTGCTTTATCAATACAGCACCTATAGCCAAGAATAATAACAAATAAATAAGATTAAAATAGCCAGAAAAATAGGGAAGATGGTTATTTATGAAATAATGATTTCAACATAACACATAACCTGAGGATTTGCCATAATTTTCAACTAAATCATCTGAAAGTGACATTAAGTTATCCTACAGGGACATTAAGTTAATTGCTCCAATTTTTTGACATTTACTCTGTGCAAGGTAATCCCTTCTTGTAAAATTTAATCAGATATAAAAGCATACTAATAATCCATCATATATAGCAAATTGTTCAGCAATTAAAACTGAATGATGTCACAAATGCAATGACAATAAACCAAATACCATACTAAGATGATGCCCTTTCACCAATTGAGAAGGCGCCAATTATTTAATAAATTAAGCCAAAAGTGGTAATGCCAAAATCAACAAGAAAGTGCCATGCTGCTACAGTCCAATTAATAGAGAATAAAACCTAACTACAGTTCACTTGGAGTGATCTCAACTGTTTAAAAAATAATTTTTTTAGCAATTTTTCCTTTTTGATGAGCCACTAGATCTAGAATGACAAAATCTTGGACAACTTTCTGAATCAACTTTGATAAAAGATGAAAAGTTATAGGTATTTTAGTTTTTTCATATTCCAAAATATTTATATTATATTTTTAGATTTATTTCCATATAAGTTGTGTAAACATTATAGTTATTCTCTAAAAAAAATGTTCAAATGTATCTACACTCAAGTGTGAAAAACACCTACTTACCAAACCATAATAAAATTTTTGGAGCCATGAGTTGATAAATTTTTGAATGGTGAGTTCATTTAGACTAACAGGCAAATTTGTTGCCAAAATATTGTTTTATACTTAAAACATCATTACTGGAATTCAGGATTTGTTGCGGCTTTGCCTGCAGTATTAAGCTATCAAATATCATTGCATTCAATGCTATTGCCACATGCTATGCTGCCACTATGTGCATCTCATGCTTGTTTTATCACCTGTAGCAATCATACAGGTGACATTGCCTGTAGAAATTTTTATAGATGGCACCAGTATAAATTGTAATGTGCATACTCTGAGCTTATCACTGGGCAACCATTAGAAGATTTGTGAGTTTTTAAAAATCAATATTCCCAAGGTAAATGTATCAGCAATATCTTCAGCAGATGCAAATTATGCTGTTGGTGCATGGCCATATCAAAATGGCAAATTGGGGTAAATGTGGCTAATTTCATTCATTTTTATGACCGTTTCCTAATATTTGAAAAAAAAAATAAGAAAAATTTGAATATTTGAAAATCACCGGTTTAACAATTTTTTTTAGCTTCAATTTAAGAACTTTCAATCTGATATTCCAAATTGGTTGTTAAAGATCTTGAATATTTACTCACTTTCTGCACCCTGGGAATCTCGCAGCCAAATTACGCACTATTGTCAACAATTAGATAGGAGGTAATTCATCTAGCAGGAAATCACCAGGAATCTAGCTGGATTCTAGCAGTTTAAAAATGGCAATAAAGCTTTGGGTGCTGCTTGAAAGAGATATAAACATAATAATATTATTATATAATTGTATTCTATGCTTCTTCCAAACCAGCTTTGGCTCTTGCCTAATTTAAACATAGAAATTATGATAAAAATATTGCAAATCACAATTTCTGAATTTGCAATACTGACAAGTTTGCCAGAATTAATTATTAATACATATCAGCTTTCATTTTGCACTTTAAATTAAGTGGAATGGTGCCTAGTAACCTAAGAGATACTGTGACAGGAGCAGGTTTGCAATTTTCCCACTTGTTTCTGAAATCATTGTCGCTCCACCATGACAAATTTTTAATACATGTGGAATCTTGCAGAACGATTGTCCACTTTTGTTAATTAGATAGGAGGTAATTCATCTGGCAGAAATCTTGCGATTCTCTAAATTTGCGGGAAAGCTCTTGTTGCGGCCCTAAAGGTAGATGTTTTCCACGCTTGGTCAGGAGTCCCCCAGAAATCTGGGGATTTTAGGCATTATCTGGCAAATTTCACCTTTTTCAGCAGCTTTGTGAGTTTTCTCAATTTGGAAAATCTATAGTACTGAAAACTAAAAAAATTACCTACTTTTACCAATAATTTTTAGAAATCACCCTTGTAATCACAATGTAATGATTGTTTGTACCTGCAATTTCAGGAAACTACTGCTCAACATTAAAAAATAGGCTAGGTGGAATACCTACCAGCAAAAAATGGTGCAAAATATGTATTCAAATTGCTTGTTTTTTGTAGTTTAAACAAGTTTCTCAACTCTCAATTACCTATAGCTAGGTAGTAAGTTCTCTAATAGGCCTAATATGGCAAAACAGAGGAGTAGCCATCCTCACCCGCCAGCAAGGCAGCAATGCCAAGATTGCCAGTCTGATCATCTGATGTAGGCGGAGGATGCCAAAATTGCCAATGCCTGCAGCATGCAGCCAGCAGGCTCTGTGAAGTATGACAGTGGCAGACTGACAGTCAGACTGTCCGAGTCAGGCAGTCACAGACTCACAGCATCATCTATCAAGGTATTTAGCGAAAATGCGAAATGGACGTTCATTACTCACCAGTTAAGTTAAGCATACCGATGTTACTTCATACTCGGCTAGCAAGATATATTCTTATTCGTTACATAAATTTACTCTCCCTTAAATCCTAACTCATTTTATAGAGTAAATTAACAATTTCATTAGCTCATTCACTCATTGAACTGTCAAAATCTCAACTACGAGCAGAGGACTGAGGACCGAGCCCCGAGGAGTGTATTTGTTATCGATGCAGATCCTGTCCGCTGTTAAACTCAGCTGCTGAAACGAAGAAAGCATTTCCGATAATTATGAAGAATAATAATAATTATGAAGAACGGCGTGCATTGAATGTATAAATTGAGAATAAGGTATTTGAGGACAATAACATAAATTTAGAGCTAATACTAACAGTATGATTAACTGTTTACTCATTCATTAATTATTAAATTCATCACGATTTGTATACATAACATATGCTGTGTTTTTCGCTGTCTCACAAAAAAATCAACATTTCTAAGTGAAGAATGATCATTCACCCATGATGACGTAGGTTTCTAGCTCTACGCGTTGTATCTCAAGCAATGACATTTTATATCTGTTAATTTTTAAAGGCTTACTGTGAATACTGAATTATTTTTACAGGCTTACATATTATTTGGCATTATAAACGTGTAGCTGTATGCCATCTCCGTATCATATATCAAACGACATAACGATCATACAGAAAATTTTTCACAAAAATTTACCTGCTCTCTTTAACCTGAGAATCTTGAATAGATTAATAAAAATTAAGTTCTGGATATGTTACTGGAAGGCTTAACAGAATCGACCTTTTTGGAACGAATTTCCAAAGCAGGTTTCCGCGCATTAGTTTGCCAAATCGAAACCGATCTTGACCCAATCAACAATAAAGCTATTTATGGACTACGCGCCTGCAAGCGTTGACAGAATTTTTTCCGTCCGCTTCGTTTTCACGTAGTTTATTAGGCTGCTCAGACGCTAAAACTTGACGTTTGACACAATACGTGAGAACAAAGCAGACAAAAAAAATTAATCTGGCTGTGTAGGTACACTCGAATAACAACGACACCTTTACGAATTCAATTCATCATATTCATATGATAATGACAGTCAAAATATAAAAGGAGAAAAATGCTCCAAATATGATGGGAAAAGAAAGAAGAAATGAAGATTTTGCCGAGGAGATAAAAAAAAACAAGGAATAACGAACGACTCAAGCACAATATAATGGCCAAAAAAAGGTTCACGAACAAAAGCTTTTAAACACAAACCCATCGTAACTTATTTTGATAGGTGTTGAAAGGTATTTTCAATTTGGAGTTAAGCGGGCAATGGCTCACCGATGGTTAAAATTGAATGCATGAAAAATCCTAGACATGGACACTGATGTGATGGCTTCAAATTTTTTTGAGAACGGACGCAACAAAGTATAATCGGAAGCGATGAAGAAACTGCTGAGAAGGCTATATGCCTTCATTAAGACCTTTTGATGAAATTAATTTAATATTTCAGCAATTGCTCTGCAATACATGTCGATACACACAAAAAAAAACGATAAAACGGAAATCGTGCCTCGGATGGCCATTACTTTCTTCATTGTTTTTTCTTAGCGCACAAATAGTAGCTACGTAGCGTTCATTCGCGCACCGATTGCTGGAATTTCCTACAGATTTTCATCTTCGTCCTCGGGGTTTGTATCTTTTATGTCTCATGATTCTTTCAATGTTTATTTGGTTAATTTAATGAGCAGGTCTTGACATTTTTGTGCTGCCTGATCATGAAGCATTACCTATCATGCAGTACTTGATCTAACATACTGTACATTTGTCAGACGGCATTACGATGATACAGAAAGTTCATTCTACTTAAAATCTTTGCTCCCTTTAATCTGAGAGCTTAGACGAAAATTTTACGACATATCTCATATTTCTAGTATTTAACTTGATTGCAAGTTCTGTTAGAATCTTCAGGTGATTGATTCATTTCTGTTGTCGTTGCCTGGAAGGCTTGGCAGTTCGCTGGAACGCGGTAGCACTGAGGAGTTGAGGAGGTACGAAGATGCCAGTTACCGATGACCGTTGTTGGGAAGAGGTTAGACTGACACTATAGCTGATCAATTTATGTTTGACAGGATTTTCTGCATAAAGTAAGTTTCATTTTTAAGATATAAAATTCTCTTCGTGTTATTTTTTTAAAATTATGCAGTTACTAAATAGAAAAGCTTATCAGACATCAATAGATCAATACCTATGTACCTAAAATTGGATTAGTTTGGGATTGAATTTAGTTGAGACGGCCTCTAAAATGTTTTAGAGTGAGAAATTAGTGAATGATTGTGTCTTCTCTCTTATCTCAAAACTCTTGAACACTCAGTGCTGATATTAGAATAATGCAATTCTTTGTCAGATTCTGTATCACAGATGTAATTTGAGTACCGTAGCCGTAGGTACGAGTCGTTGTGGCCGTGGCGTCACCCTCAATTCTCAGAGAAATCATCCAGTACAATAACCTATGCAGCTTACTAACGAACAAAGTGAACGAACACTTGACGTTTCAAACCTACTTTTGTATTCTAATCAGATTCAGCTAAATTGATGCCTGTTAAGAAAAGGTAATTGAATGATTTTGGAGTGCTATCCTGCTTCTGCAAATCAATTTTCTGACCTAACCGATTTGCTTCCATCGATTGATTTTGAAGATATATGGTCTGTATTTTTATTATATTTTGAAGAGAAATATACATTACAGATTTTTTTATGCGGTCAAACTTCACATTAATAAATTATAACTACGAACTGTACTTTTTTGTATCATACGCGCCAAGACCAGATTTGGTGAAGCATAAATTCACAATGTTAATTCAATACATAGCTGGTCCACATACTTAAAATTTATTATCATAAATATCAGTCGTCATAGCTAAAATTCTATTTTACTTACATTGATTATTTACCTGGTGTGTGCAAATGTTAGGTGAGGCATTCGCTGCGCGCCAGGGTCTAGTATTGATTAGCTCGTGGGAGGGAGGGGGCGGCACCGCCATGTTGGATATCGCGCAACGCCCGACCCTTCCAGACGCACGTCACCTCGATCGGCGTTACAATTGGGATGAGAAATTGCTCACATTGAAAGATTTTCGCTCAATACTGGTAGTTAGTACGCTCTCTAAAACAGAAATACTGCTGATTCATTGGCATTCAGTTCCTCAATTGCATAAGCTTAGCCGTGGTATCGAAGCTAATTCGATCTGTACATACATACAGAACGGGGCTTATTTAGTCGGAATTTTACTCAGCGATATCATGCTTCGGATTGCATCAATGTGCAAAATCAAATTATGATTGAGATTAAAATTGCCGATGATTATCAAAACACATAACTATAAACATCAATGTCGTTATAGGGAAGTAACTCGTGTGGCTTTTGCGCTGCCGCAGGCGTATTCACTGCAACGTTTTATCATTGTACGTAGTCGCACGATAGCGTCGAGTGCCCAGTCAGCCGCGCACCCAAACATCGCTGCGACCAAATAAATCCATCAGTTTAATCACTAGCCTGATGTTGGTACTGCTGATAGCATACATCATTGCTTAATTCACGGTCGTAATATGACTGCCAGTCGGAAAATGGATGATCGGTTGAAGGTGTACGAAACTAAAACCGTGCTACACGGCATTACGTAGATAACCGTAGCACTCTGAGAATTTTATTCGAATTTATACAACAATATCAGCTAATCAAATTTTCAACTTTTCAGGCTTGTGTCAATTTTCTGCTGAATTGAGACCAGGCTCCTGCTGATCGCCAACGACGACTTCTGCTGCAGAATGACACGGATATTTGCCTCGGTGTTGCGTGTGTAAGCAGCGACCCATGCAACAGTGAAACGTACACTGCCCCTGCAGGAGTTAGATAGTGGCAGCTAGAGAAGTCGTTGCAGTCATGTCTCTCTTCCCTGACCTGATGTTGTGGGAGACCGCCGCGCTCACGAACTTGTCGTGCAGCGGAGGTAGGATGGAGTGCGATATTCTCAGGGAGCTTGGCCCCCCACCTGACATGATCCTGAGCCTTCCTCCTCCTCCCGTGCCGCCTTCCATTGAGAAGCTCGTGGTGAGGCTCGCTGCAGAAGCTGATCCTCAAGCAGGAGCTGCTGCCCATGAGGACGCTCCATGTCACCTCTGCACCTGGGCGCGCGGCAGCAGCGTGGGCGTTGTAGAGCGCGCACAAAAAGGTAATCAACCTTATCTTAAAGTAAATAATTAAGAATGTAGCTCACAATTCAGTCTATAAAACATCCATGATAAATCAATTATAATATAATTGTACACACTTTTTGATAAAGAGGTTGACGAAGAGGGTCATTTAAATCTAAAAACATCTGCAGGGGTTGGACAAAAGAAGAGTAACACCTGACATTTTAATATCGTAATTTTTGAACATGTTATAAAGAAAGAAAACGTGACTTATTTTTGTGTTTTATTGTTTATTGTTGCAGCTAATTTATGCTTTCTCCTTGTACAGATATGTTTAGTAATTTTTTGTGTCATAACCTAACCTATAAATGGCAAACCTCTCTGACTTGCAAAGAGGCCAAATTGTTGTTGCCCGTATGGCAGATGCGACTGTGATAGAAACTTCCGGAATGCTTGACGTTTCTAGACGTAAGGGTACGCACACAGTGAAAGCAGGTTTGCCCGCGCGGACAACCTGCTCTAACCTACCACAAGAATGAACATAAGATAATAATGTATGTGTTCACAGTGAAAACCTGTGCAAATAGGCTTCTGTATTCTATGGTTTCAGGCTCCAGCCTGAGCAGGTAACCAGCACGCTGGCAACCTGCTTTCACTGTGTGCGTACCCTAATGTTTCAGAAGTTATGACTGCTTTTGAAAGAGAAGGAAAAACGTCCTCTGCAAAGCACAGGTCTGCCGAAAGTCGATGTCTGAGAGACAGTCGGCACCTAAATCGAATTGTGGGGGCAAACGAAAAATAGCGGCTATTAAAATTACTACAGACCTCAATGGACACCTACAAAACCCAGTTTCCATAAAGACTGTCCACCGAGAGCTGCACAGATCTAGATTTTTTGGAAGTGCTGCAATTAGAAAACCTCTGATTTCAAATACAAATGCTTCAAAGCGTTTAGAGTGGTATAAAAAACTCCAGAATTGGTCCCTAGAGCAGTGGAAAAAGTGTGGTATCTGTGACATATCATCGTTTTCCTTATTTCTGACCTCTGGCCGAGTTTACGTTTGGAGTCAGCCAAAATTTATCCTGACTGCCTCCTTCTAACCGTAAAACATGGCGGGTGATCTGTAATGATCTGGGGCGCTATTTTTTGGAAATCCGGCTGACCCATGATTTTTCTTCACGGAAGAACCATTGAAGAATGAATTTGTCTTTGGTTGATTAACTACTTTAATTTCTCTACGTGCACATAAGAAGCCGAATGGTAAGAAAGAAATAATTCCCCCCAGCGCCTAATTAGATGCTGTAAATGTAACCAACTGCGCTCAGTGTCACGTTTGAGAATAGTTATCCTTCGTTCTGCTCTCACATGCAGACCATAAACATATAAATTAAAATCGTCTTCCATGAATTTAGGATTATTTTACCATAATCTCTTCGTGTATTTACAGGCCCAGTGATCGACGACACTTGGTTCTTCATCATCATTTCGAGCTGCGTCGCTGCTGCGCTTTTGGCCATTGTACTCATCATCGCGTACCTCAAATACAGAGAGTGAGTAACATTAACTTAGCTGAATGCATTAATTAGAATGCCGCATGTGCACACGTTCACATGTGACTTTTTTTACTACATGTGCACACACGTTCCAACTCACAAAACTTGGAACCGTTTAGCCAACAGTCTTAAGTAATTTGTTGGTAATTCCAGCTGGGAAAGTATGATTCGTATGGCTGGCAAAAAACCACCTTTGTTACAAATTTGTATCTTAACGCAGCGTTGCGCGGGATAGATACGCGCTCCCTGGCGTTTCGCCTCATATCTAAGAATATGTGAATAATTATTAAACTGAAGTAATAATATTATAAACACGTCCAAGCTCACAGTAAATGTAGAAATTTATTCAACTCCCACTTCGAAATTTGGAAGGAATTTGAAATTGCATTTTTTAACAAACATTATTTTCAAAACTAAAATCTTGGTTTCAAACCCACTTTTTCTGCTTTGTAAGTAATGCATCTTGATTCCAGAAAGTTTTTCCTATGATATGTGTGCGTATAATATTTGAATTTTTTCTGTATTTCCAGCAGTAAACTGAAGCCCTTGAGTGACGTGGTGCTGGCGAAGAAGGAGAAGGCGTTAGGGCTGGACCGCTGTGAGGCCGTCCTCTACCCCAACCCTCCTGCTAGGGCCCCTCCTCTGCCTCCGTCAGATCCCCATTATTCAAGCAAAGCCCTTTGGGCGGGGCTGAAGCCCCTCAACGACAAGTTCTACACAGTCGACCACTGCCAACCTATGAATCAGAAGCAGGCTCACATGGAAATAATCCAGGCTATGGAAGACAAGTATGACTACAAGCACTACGCGCCCGCCAACTACTCGACCCTGGCTCCAACGTACACTTCAACTGAAGGAAACAAGTCCATCGTGAACGGCTGTATGAAGCCTGGCATTTTTGAGAACGTTGGCTTCGTGCCCGGCGACGAGGGCGACGACGAAATGCTGCGTCGTAAGTGCGGCGTGTCGAGAGCGGCGTTGCTGCTGAGCCGACGTACCACTCTGTCCCGGCCGCCCTCGAGCCTGTCTCAGCCCGGACACCACTACGAAATGGTGTCCCCTCGCAGCTCTCCGGCCAGCAACAAGCGCCACATGTCCCTGGGTCGCAACAGCCGTGCAGGCAACGGCCAGCATCCGCTGATCATCAGCGCCCCAACAAACGTGCCGCTGGTGCGCCTGCCTCCGCTCAACAGCCGACCAGGGCGGTACGCGCTCACGGCGTTCGCAAACGGCGAGCACAGCCTCTTGCGCAACCACGAGGACCGCGTGCGGTGCTCACAGGTCGCACTGGACAGGTCAGGAGCACCCATGACTACTCTGGCCACGGTATCACCCACCGACCACGTCTACGCATCCCCCATCACTTCCCCCGTCATATAAACTCACACAGCGAGCAGCGGCGTCTTCTCAGGATTAATTTATTTAGGTCACATACAAGAGGCCATCTCAAGTTGGATCACCGAGTGAAACTTGACGTTTTTCACTATAATAAGGGATAAAAAATGAAAAAAATCAGATTAAATCAATTCGCTGCATTCAAAACGTGTGCTAGGAGCAAAATTTCAATGACTCATCGACCTCCAACATCTCTACGGCATTTGCTGTTTCTAGCTTTAATACAGGACAGAATGGCATTCTTCATCCCATATAGGTGATTAACTAAGGTCATTATTAGTTTTTTCTGTGTGTTATGTGCAATATTACTTTAAGAAAATTATGGTTTTTGTTTAGTTTGAAGATAATTAGTGATTTTACATTTTAATGTTTGGCCGGTATTAAAAAAAACGACCTCTAAACCTGATACATGAACAAACAACAGCGTTTGTACGCCTAAATTTGTGAGTGCATAAGCGCGGATGCAACTTGCTATCCAGTAGGCATCTTATATTGAAATGACGTTGATTACACGTTGTTTCAACGTAATCAACTCATAATCAACGTTTTCCACTCGTCATTTTTCTGGAGGGTAATGACTAAAAACTTTGAAAGAGCGCGCCCTCGCGAACACGTGCTTCTGAGCAGATAGGAAACTCTCAGTTCATTTCTATCTTCTAGTCAGCAAATATTAAGTTATTAGTGTAGAAGTTCCCGTAAATTATTCGTATACATAAGTTAATCGTAATGATGTACGTTAAGACTGTGTGTACAGTGAGTGTATAGATGTTGATTTTAGCAACATTTTCGTATCCGCTCGCAGAAATGGTTCCGTCTGTCATAAAAACTATTCCGTCGTAGGATCTCGCGTCCATTTTCACTTCAAGCATAAAGTGTGCAAAGTTCATTTTAAAGTTCCCTTCATTTCTTCACTTATAATTCCTCTGCATCAGAACCCAAAATGAGATCATACGCGATGAAACACTGCACGAACTTACCATTTATCTGCCATGTCATACCATGTCATCTGAGTAAATATTTGTGTAGTTAGCATCATAATTATCTTGTGTCTCTATATTAAATGATATAATGTGTTGAAGCGTCCCCATCTCTGCGCCGAAAACGAACAAAATCTCAAGCACACGAAGTGTGAACATAAAAGATCAATTGTTTTAAGAGGTATTCATTCTCCAGGATCGATTTTATCAACTTACTAACAAGCTCTAAGTTCTCCCATTGTTCTATGTACCCAAATACGTCTTCTAATGTGTATCAGCTTTGTGCTTGCCGCGTAATTTTGCATGTATAACTAACCACTAAAAACGCAATACTGAATCACATGGCAGATTTGACTGACTCAGCATATACATTCAGTTGCAGTTCGTCTAATAGTCATGGGAATGAATACCTACTGCAGCCTCTGCCACTGCGACCGACAATAAACTATATAGGCGTCGAGCGAAGGTTTAGTCCAAAATTTTTATTGGGCCATCAAGTGAATTATGTGCGAATGTCGTAATAGTTGCAACAGCAGCTGAAAGATAGCCGCTTTAAAAGCTGAACTTTGATCCGGAATATTGTTGTTTTATCTAAGATTGTGCGGACGCCAATGCAGGAAAATGGAATTTTATCTTCAGTAACATGGAAAATTTGGGCTGTAAATCCTGCCTCTGACGTGGTCTTTATCACACTACCACAATGGGAATAAATTAACCTACTATGCAGATGAAGTGCGGCATGAAACGAACGACTCATAAGTTGTCATTTTTTATGTCTACTCTTTTCTATTTGTGTGTACTCGTATTTTATCATGGCCAATATGCTATATTTCTGCAGGCTAGTGCATTATGCACTCGATTGTTCCAATAGCTCTGTTTGTTCTTTTTTCTCACGTGTCATTAAACTGTGTTACATGAACCAAAGATTAGTGAGATATGATCTTATTGTGAATGCGTTTCTTTTACCTTCGGGACGCCGGTAGAATGTGAGGAGTTTTGAAATCGCTTTTCATTTGAATTATGAGAGTTACACCGAATATGAATGAAATTTCATTCATAATCAAAGTCATTTAAATAATCCACGTGCAAGATCTCCCATCATTTTCTATTGTCATTGGAAAAAGTTATTGAAATCTTATGTATCGCTTCGTCGTCTCAATAAAGACGACCTTCATTAAAATGTATCGATATGCAAACTAATGTGGCAATCACGGAGCTCCGTGAACGAGATTAGTCACTCACTAACATGCGCTGCAGTCCACGCTATCTAATCAGGATGCTGCAATGCTGACGCCTGAGCGCACCACGGGATACTGAGTTTACCTCCCACGGCAGAGACGAGGTTCACAAGCTCACGACCTGGACACAGCGCCGGTCACTAGCTAACGAGTAGGTGGTTTCTTCTCCGTCGCCTACTAAGAAGTGCTGTAGTTTCATTAAAGCTCAGTAATTTGCTTTATATTCCGCCTTGTGAGGATAAACGGTGATGGGCGTACAATCAAGAAAGAATTCATTAAAATAAGGTGAGTCTAAAGTGGTTTGAGCCGACAATTGCCCTTCCCAGTGAAATGATCCATTCATATCGGTACCGGGCAGCACCATGAATGATATATCTATTGAATTGCACGATCAATCAGTAACCTTGAGGGACTATTCAATGATGAGCTAGGTTTATCAAATCCATAAAGAAAAAATGTACCAAACTTGTGAAGAATTGTTGTTTTTTCCAGTTTTCAACTTCACACATCATCAGTATTTCAGTATCAGTATGATATTACAATGATATTTAAAATGATTCAAAAATAAGTTGAGAGATGGTTGTGTCTGAGAGAGACATGCTCGCTACCTGCACCCATGCACCGCTGGCATAGCTTGTAATGATGTGCGCTTCATATCACGCACGTACGAAGATAATGCAATTAACGCCGTGTTTGATATTTATGGGATGCAAAAATAAGAGTGACTTCATATTCTAGGCAGCAATGTTTCCGATCGAGCGGCGACAAATGACTCTAGTTGAAAGGGAAAACTAATTTATAACACAGCTTTGCGTATTAATTAAGTTATCGATATTTCCTGCAGACTTCGTGGTCGCGATGGGCATTTTAAGAGCCAAAGTCATGTTGAGCCTCGGAGTTGCTGGAATGCTCGTCATGGCAGCAATTGTTTGGACTCCATATGGACCTTACGCCTTCATCCCGAAACCTAAACCAGCCAAGCTTTCCATCAGCAACCTGCATGAAGCAGAGACTGTCATGCATGGTCAGACACCAGAACGGCGTAGTTATAAGCCTTCCACTATGATAATGTCAAACAAATTTAATTTATTTACGTGTAAGAAGTAGGTAGTGCGCCAACGAAGTGACATCAGCGCACTTATCGGAGTAACTGTCTGATTCAAAATTAAGTAACCTTTGCATCTCACTCTTCATAAAACTCGGAGCAAGAATATCCTTACAAGTGAACCTAAAACTACATACTAATATGCAACCGTAATTAAAAATAATCTATTTTCGGGTCGGGTTCTAATTTTGTAGAGATACAGATATCGTTAAAGTAATTTGCTTCTAATTATCTTGGCACTGGGCAGAGCACGAAGCCGCTTCCATGCCCAAGTCCGCGGCACAGCAGCAGCCCGGGACACCCTCAGCCTCAGGGCCGAAGCTGGTGCTGCTGCTGAGCTCTACGCCGAGGAGCGGCTCTTCCTTCATCGGAGAACTGCTTGCTACGTACAAACCGACTGCCGTGTATTTCTTTGAGCCCCTACACAAAATTCAGGAATTACCTTGTATGCTGGACAATTCTTGCGTCTCAAATTACTTGGGTAACATATTTTCTTGTGATTTAGATAACGCGTTCCAGCAATGGTTGCGCTCCAAATCTGTCTTTTTTCAATTTTTCAGTCAGACAAGCAAAAGTTGCGGTGATAAAAGTAGCAATAGTGAGATAAAGTCTTGCTTTTCTAAAATTGATATGATCAATGAGTGTCTACAAGCTGATGTAAGGCTGATTAAGGTGATCAGGTCTCGTATTCATCATATCGTTCCATTACTTAATTCATTACCTCATATCAAAGTCGTTCATCTGTACAGAGACCCGCGAGGATTTATGAATTCTATAAATAAATTTACCAACTGGAATCATAACAGTTCCAAATACTGCGAAAATTTGAACAATGATTTGCTAGACTTCAGAATCCTATCAGAAAAACATCCGCAGCAAATGATTCAAATAGCTTACGAAAATTTTTCTAATGATCCGACTGAAGGCACTAAAAAATTGTTCAATTTTGTATATGGAAATGCTACGTTAGAAGCTCCCACGCTGTCGTATTTAGAAAGTCATACAAAATTTGACAGCAATGGTCCGATGACTACGTTAAAGAACTCAGGAGCTGCAGCCGAGGCTTGGAGAAATACAATTAGTATTAAAACTTTGGGAGATGTTGAACACGACTTGCAGTGCCGACAGGCCGTACGCCTCATGAATCACACAATTTTTAACTCAATCGAAAATGCAAGGAATAGAAACATTCCTTTGGAACTACATAAAGTCTAAACGTCGCAGTCTGAACTGTTCTGTGTTTTACTTTCCCGGCTACAAAATTGGCATTGGCAGCTTAGTTCTTTGGCCACAAAATTTTGCATTCAAGTACGAAGTATGATTCGAATTTGAGACCGGAAAATGGGTGAAAGCTAAAATTGGCGGATGTCAGGTTTCCAATATATTATTAGGAGAAAATCATTGGTAGATCTTTACTTGGTTTGCGGGTTTCTGGGAAGGTGCAAAGGTAGGTTTTTCAGAAAAAAGTATAAAAAATGGTGTGAAAACACTAATATATAATAATTAATAATTTAATCAATTTAAAAACCCGTGAAAAATGAAAACCTAACAAATAATATAAGTATAATTACCTAAATCAGCCGATCAATTCCCCAGCCCACATTTCACCTATCGAAGTCTGCAATGCATGAGATAACCTGTTTAGGACAAGTTTATAAACTTTTGGATAAATGTATAAAGTTTCGGATAATTTCATAAAGTTTCGGATAACTATGTTAAGTTTAGAAAATTCTTTATCAATAAAGTTTCGGACAAGTTTATGAAGTTTCGGATAATTTTATAAACTATCGGATATGTTTGCAAAATTTTGAATAAGTTCGTAAAGTTTCGGATAAGTTTATAAACTTTCGGATTGGTTTATAAAGTTTAGGATAAGTTTATAAAGTTTCAGACAAGTTTATAAAGTTTCGGATAAATTCATAGAGTTTGGGATAAGTTTATAAAGTTTCGGATAAGTTTATAAAGCTTTGGACAAGTTTGAAAAGCTTCGGACAAGTTTGTAAAGTTTATAAGTTTATAAAAATTCTAATAAGTTTATAAACATTCGGACAAGTCTAAAAAGTTTCGGAAATGTTCGTAAAGTTTCGAATATGTTAATAAAGTTTAGGATGGGTTTATAAAGAATTTAAAAGCAAAGAACCGGCCAGAAAATTTACCATTTCTTATGCGATAAAACGCTTCGGAACCCAGCTCCATATAGTTAATTCTACATATAACCTAAAATACAAGTACAAACAATTAGCAAACTAAAATTCACATTGAAGCTATTAAAACATAAATTAATCAAATGAAAAGAAATAAGAATGCGGTAAAAAATTAGCAGACAAACCTATCTATTTAAATTTAAAGTTTCGAAGGGAGATGAACTGTTATCGGCATATTTAGACTAGGTTTTTGTTTAAAAATATACAAGGTGCTTGGATGTATATATACAATATGTATCAAATTTACACTCGGTGATCCAACTTAAGATGGCGCTTAGATGTGACCTAAATAAAAATTATACAAATATACAATTTGCAAGTCAGAGAAAACCCTTTGTGGAGGCTAAAACTCTAAAATCACTATCGGAAACCGGGACATTTCACTTCTCGACACGAACTCGTCCTGCTGAATGAGAGGATGCGCGAGCAGGTTTTTTGTTCAATAACTCCTTCCTTTGTGCTCCGCCAGCCTAGTATAAAAGTTGCGAGATGTCATACCGACATACGCAGATGCGCACAGTGCACAACTATATTGATAAACTAAGGACGATTGCATCAGAACAGAGAGTGTATCGTTTATACATGAAAAATTAACTAATTTTACAATTATTCACCAGTAATATATGAAGATTTACATTTGGGAGGTATATAGAGAACAAAACTTTTAACTCCTTATCCATAATCTCTGAAGCACGAACAAAGAAAACACTCAATCGACAATTTTACGGACTCGCCTGCGGACTCGCGCAACTGGGCCGCTCATAATTCCTTCAATACTTAACGGATGAGCATGAATTCTGGAATGTGAGTATTAATTATCGATACGCTGCCGCAGGAATTATTACAGAATTTTACATGAATTATTTTTTAATTAAAACCAATAAACGTATTTTTAAGCAACTGGGACGCTCATAATTCCTTCAATACTTAAATTAATTTAACGCTTGACCGCTGATCTCAACACCTGCGTTTTATGAGATTTGAATTATAAATTTTCAGCCATTTCTGAAAGTGGCTTCTGTAGCATATCAAGTATCTTGTATGCTTAATGACTAGCCACGAAGAAGAAGCACATTTTAGAAGACGTGCTCCATTAGCTTTCGTTCTTATTTCGTGTTCATTATGTTCACGCGCGTAACTTCCGACATAACAGCTTAATTCCTGTAATTTTTCCACCTGTTTCGACCAGTCCAAGGCTTCAGGAGATGAGACTAACTTGCATTTTATGTGCATTTCTCGTGTAAAGAAGTAACACTAGTGAAGACGATGAATTTGACAGAAACAAAAGATATATCGTTTAGGATAAAGCTCCCTGACCAACGACAATGACCCATATATTTACGGGGGGGGGGGAGGGGAGTTGATGAGCATTTTCGTTGATCCTCTCCGAAATTACCTACGAAGCACCTTCGATTGTAGAAACGCCGCGTTAATTCTTTCTAGAACCTGATACACGTTAGAATAGTCATTTTTACCCTGATTTGGCAAAGGGGAAATTTTGGAGGCGTAATTGATGGCAAGAGCGCATGGCGGCAAATAAATTTCTTTCAGTTTTCCGTTCTACTTGTATGTATTGAAAATACAAGCTACACAACAGTGCGGTAGTAGTGGTTATTGCAGTTTAATTCTCATGTAGGATGTGGGGCATGTAAATAAGGAAACTCGGATGAAATTTCATGTTTTATAGGAGATCGGGGAGCGACAGCCTATGCTTTGATTGTAAATCGAAGTCCGTTGGCACCCGAATATGAGGAGTGATCATTAAGTATCGAATCTGTAGTCGGCTCTTTGTGCATAAATTAAATTGGAGTTCCTAAACTTTCAGCCGTAGCAAAGTTAGTTTATCACACACGCAGAGGTGGGCAGTAGCGCGCTACATGTAGCGGCCGCTACTAGCGGCCGCTACATTTTCAGTATATATAGCGGTAGCGGTAGCGGCTCTACATTTAAGGCAATGTAGCGGTAGCGGTAGCGCCCGCTACATATTTAAGTAGCGATACAAGGTTTTGCCGCTACAGCGCTACCGCTACATTTATAGATAAAGCCTTTAGATTTTACTTAAGGGGACCGGCTACCCTCCAACAAAACTTTTTTGTTTACAAACGGATCGTTTTGNTCAAGAGTTTTATGCCTTTTGATTCAAAATATCTTCATGCCTTTTTGATTCAAAATTATGTGGAGGTTGACAAGCCAACCATTTTTTTAGCTCCGTACACATATTTCTTTTTTTCTCTGACAGTCACAACTCCAACTCATAAAATTTTCTAAATTCTAGGTCTCTCTAAAAAGTCTTCTAGTTTTGAATGGGAATAGTGCAATTTTTTTGCCCTGATTGCAAGAAATTTTGATGAATGACCACAACAAGTGCATTGCTATTTGGATAACGTCACACTTATTTCTCCATATGCACCCTAGTCAGTCTATGCTGATGCCGCTGACACGATACAACCTCCTTCCATTTACGCGCTCTGCGCACTGAGTCGACAGGAGCTAGGAACAGCAAATCCAAAGCCTCTGACTGGTCAGTTAGTTGGATGGTTTCGATAATACCTTTTCAGATGAGTCATGCGTAAGGCAGTTTTGTTAATGCCAAATTTTGACTGACTTACGCCATACGTAACTTTTTGAACGTAAGTACGAAAAGTTACGTGAACTTAGCGAAGTTTCGTTAATCTCTGCCCAGAGCCATGCCGGCGAGAAGAGAGGATACAGAGTCGCAAGAAGTTAGATGCTGCCCGAAGAAAATGGCTGCAAAGATCTTGTGCTTGTATTTCTGCGTGATGGTTTGGCATTGATGATACATGAAGTACTGCTCGAAAAAAATCAAACCTGTCGTGCTTTTTTGGTCATGCACGACGTGTCTACGTATAGGTATTGCCTCCGTAGTCCTGCTGGCTGGTATTGCCTACGTAGGCCCGGGCATGGCCGACGTGGGTCGATCCGAGTTTTTAATTTTCTATTTTCTGACCCCAGGTAAGGCCAGCTTTGTCCATGTAGGGTTTGGTGTAGCTCGAATATCCTAAACACTAAATTCATAAATTGATGCAATACAGAGTACTTCATTCATCGTTAAGTGGATCTAGACGGCAGAATCACAAAAATCTTGCCCACCTCGGCTATTGAGAACACTAAAAACAAGTGTGTGAATATTTAATAGGTATTACCGTCAATTGCAATTTTACCGGCAATAATTAGCTTGACCCTGACGCAACAAATAAGAATTTAACAGAAATTTTGGCCCTACACCAGTAATGGGGTAACTTTTAGCGAAATCGAATTAAATATAGTAATCATTTAATTGAATTTATGCAAGGAGTGAATTAGGTTTGTACTGGAAAGACAATGCCACATAAAGTACAAAATTAATGTACGTAGGTATTGGCTACTGTCGCGCCACTTCATGCAAATTTAAATGCCTATTCTTCATTAGGATAATATCTGTATCAAATTGATAGAGTTTTCGATTACAACGAAAAAACCTAAATTATACTTAATCTATACGTATCTGCGCATTCCCGCGAAATCGCCAACGGACTAAACGCAACTCAGGCGCAACTGAACCACTCATAATTTCCACAATTTTAAAAGGATCTTCATGAAATTCAGTACTAGAGTCACTCGTTTGCTTGAATCGCATATTAACAAAAAATTTAGAAGGAAAGAAAATTCCACAGATTCATAGTATCTTTATAGAAAACGTTTCGGAGTCCGCTCCATGGTCGTCCGAAGATTCTAAAATGCCCATAAAATGAGAAGTTATCACGATTGAAATTCAAGGAACCGAAATCAATTAAGCAAAATATACAAATCTTCGAAGTGACGATGAAGCTGGACTCCGAAACGTTTTCTATAGAGATACTATAAATTTCTGTGGAATTTTCTTTGCTTTTAAATTTCTTGAAATTCAGTACATGTTAGCAAGACGCCGCGATATGGATTCTGAATTTTTTTATGTCTCTTCTTTTTGGATTAAAAGGAAAAAAAACCACACCTTATGCGAAACCAAACAGTTTATAAGTCTTTCAATTCTGAACGAATCTGCCTGAAATTCAATAGGCATTTAATTATTTAATTAAAAACGCTATTTTGGCGCCACTGAACTCTCAGTTCTGAACGAATTTGCATGAAATTTATATTTTATTTTAATTTCTTTACTTATAAGTAATTAACAGCCGATCAATTGCGTTTATTTGTTTTAATCGAAATGAATTGACGTTAAAATATGAAATAATTTCTCCAGCGGCACATTGCTAATAAATGAATAATGAGTTACTTTCTGAATTACCTGCAAATGAAATCAGAATTGAGGGACTTGTGATTTGTTCAGTTGCGCAAAATTTTTAATGAAAACGGAATGAAGTAAAAATATACATGGGCCTATTGTTAATAATTTGCTATGTTCTGAATTTATGCAGATCAGTTCGAAATTGAGGGACTTATGAGCTGGAGTTCGGTATCGTGTTTGTGGTCAAGTTCGAAAAAGTGTCGTTTTTGTTTGATTTGTTACCACAGATCAGTTTCTAATTGACGTCTGATAAAATTGAGCTACGATCTGTTTTGAGTTTTGCCCAACAGGGGCTGTCTGTTGCTACAAAAAGTTATCAGCTGACCAATACCAAATACTGTACGCAATACCAAGTATTGCGTATCCGCCGGATCGTATCAGTCTACGATAAGAACTCTTGGAGTGAGGCAGTTACTGCACGCTGTCGTTGTGAGATTTGTATGCCCTGAAACCTTGGATTGAATTAGTTGGTGTTGACTGACCAGAGTCCACTAACTGCACCTGATAATCTCGTGATTCAGTAAGTATTAAATGTAAAATTTCGTATTAATGTTTCTCTCTGATACCTAAGTTCCTTACATTTAAGTCATGCGACAACGACAGGAATGACGGGCTGAGCCTCTGAGGCACGCCCAAAAATGATAACTTAAGAGTAAGGCACTCGCCAAAAAATATGAGTCAAGGTTCAAACTTCAATCTGAAGGTAGAGTCGTAACATGGTTTAAATTCTGCTAAATAAATATTGCTTGCCAAGACTTGTATCAAAACGGCAACATATTGGAAGTTTGGAACTTGAATTTTTTTAATTTAGGCTAAGCTTTCATAATTTAATGCTAAAAATCATAAGCTAAATTCATCATAAATTGTATGTTACTATGAAAGAATAATATTTTTTGATTTGCTACTGCAGTAACAACTACCTAATTCTGAATTCTGATTGATTGTGATGTGCCCTGTAATTTCCTTTTGATGCTGAATTAAGCCTACTATTAAGATCGAGTTGGCCACTGGCCAGACTAGGTAATTCAACTAATTCAACTTACCAGGCTACTGGTAGCCAATGGCAATTGGCAAACTTAAGACGTTAGTATCATTACCTACAGGCTACAAGGCTATCCACCCTTTGCTTTATAATCCAAAATCCAAATGATACTGACGTGAGACGTCTGACAGTCTGACTCCTTATTGTAAATTTAAGTTTTGCATTTTTCTGCCTCTCTAGAAGTCAACTACACAATTTGTAGGCTAGAAAGAAAAATTTTTTCTCTTTTATTTCTCTATTTTTTGTATAGTCAACTTGAAACTTCAATAACATTTAATTTGATAGTAATGATTTTTTAGTCCTTTGATTGATTTTTAGTTATTCAGCTTACTGCAAATAATGTCTGCAATCCTGTAAACCCGTAGGCTTACTTGACTGCACTGTAATGATGTAATCCTAATGGTAGTGCAATCTGCTTGAATGAACTAAAATGACTCAATATTTTTGACAGATTTCCTCTCCAGCCGCAGCCTTAGCTACTTCTAGCTACAAGATGACTGAGGTGTTTCAGTTTGGTGTTGAGCCAATAACATGCCATGCTTGGAACAAGGAGCGCACAAGTGAGTTTGATGAAGTAAAACTTGTAGATTGACTTACATTGCCAGGACATAATATATTAACTAATTGAACATCATAAAATCAGGTGCACAAGATTAACAAATAATTCAATTTTAACCATAGATTTCATTTTCATTAAATTTCACACTCCACACAGAAAAATATTCCATGGGACAAGTTAATTCTAAACTTAATTTCTTATTTTTAAATAATTCTAAATGTTAATGCTCAAACAATATTATATTTGTTTAAATTATTCTCTTCCATAAACATTAAAGTTGATCTTAGCCTTAGCAGTGTCAACATCATGCACACGCAGAGTTGTTTTAAAAGGTGCATTAATTTTGTTTTTATCATTATGGGATGCAGGTGTGGAATAAATCTACTCAGTGAGCCACAAATATGGCCTTCCTGCCATTTATGGAGCCGCAAGATTTTTTCCTGACAAATTATCTCCTATCTAATTGTTAACAAAAGTTGTTGACTAAGGCGCAAGATTTAAAATTCATTATTAATATGTCACATTGGAGCTGCTATATTTCTGTAATAAGTAGGAATTTTTCAATCCTGGTGGGATGAAAAAATATTGTAAAATGCTTCTGAATAGTGCTTTAAATGGTTTGAACAGTTGTTATGATTTGACTTTAAGGTAAAAGGATCATTTTCAGGTTCGTTTTAACCATCACAATGTTATGGTTTATATAGCAACAACTGGATTTTTTAATTCAATTCTATATATTTTGAAGCAAGGGAATATTTATTTATTTTGCTATTATTATCATTTTTTGGAGGGGTTAGTTACTTTAAAGTTTTCAGGATGCTAAAAAATGCATGCAATCAGCCATAACAAAAACCTTGAAGTCAGGACAATGTTGGTCTGCTGTTTTAAGAACAGTTGAAAAAATAGACTAAAGCATGCAGTGTGAAATAAGTACCTACATACCAATGTGTTCTATGGCTGCTAAATTTCATACTTAACCTCAATGTGAGTTTGAAGTGGTGCAGTTTTACATCTATTCAAAATATGGCTTAGGAGCTGTAAAATTTCAGTGAAAAATGGGTTTTCCTGTCTCAGTTCTATACTTTCTTTACTATCCCATGGTTTAATTTTGTGTCTTCTAGCTAGTCACAAAATGCATGCTCCTTATTTCACAAATGTTTCAACATTGAGATATATATAATAGCTGCATTAAAACACCAAAGATAAGATAGCTGCACTGAAACATCAAAGATAAGTCACTGCTCCATCATCCTCCAGAATTAATACGCGTGCCTCAATGAGAATTCATCATATTTGGGATTCAGTGCTTTAATTTTACACCTTAACCAAAGAAAATTCATCTGCAAAAATCTGCATAAAATTAACCTTTTTAAAGTCAATCATACCTTTAATGTCCAGTTTTCATGGCCTTAATTATGTCTACTGTACTACCTTAAATTACTTGATTTAATCATTATATTATACCATTTCTATGTTGCATTGAATCACCATATAATGCAAGTGATTTTGTAGGTCTGTATATAATAATAGCTTGAGTGCAATTTAAATTGAAATTAATTGTTCATTTATGCTTTGTATGTATTGCTCTTGAGATTCATTCTTGTCAACATTGTGTGTCACTTTCAACTCTACAATATTTTGAGTGTGGATAGCTAAATACTTTTGGAATACATCACTAATTTTGCCAAGTGGTTGAAGTCCATGTAACCTAAATTAATATGCATTTTATCCATGTTTTGGCAGGGAAAATCCCAGAATATTTCCTGTGATGCAATTTTTTTTAATTGCACTTGATTGCCTTGGTTAAACAATTCTGTCATAGACACTGGAAGAGTTATTTCTCAATTTTTATAAGTATTTTTAGGAGCCAAATTTTGAAATATGAAATGCTGAACGAAAGCTTGCTCTTGTGCCTTACCTTTACCTCAAACTCATTATTTTTACAGAACTTGCCCTGAGCCTCAATGATAACGAAGTGAACATCTACTCAAGGCAACCAGGCACCGGAGACTGGGTGCTGGAGCACACTTTGAGCGGCCATGACCTCCGCGTGACTGGAGTTGATTGGGCACCAAACACCAACAGGATTGTCACCTGCTCAGCTGTGAGTCTTGAAGAACTTTGCAATAAAGATGCAAACGAATCGTCTTCTTTACTGCATAGTATTTACCATATTTTCAATCACTTTGTATTAATTGGAAATACTCTAAGTTTTATAACAAGTTGAAAGCCTGGGAATTAGCTCATGAAATGCTTTCTCACTTTAATGTTCAAATATTATTTCTCTTATAACTGCTATTATTACTACTTCATCCACTCTGCAGTACTTTCCTAGGCTTAAGTGCATTTGGAAATTTAAAGTATGGTATCCTTTTGTGTTATTTATCCTGTAAAATTATAATTTCGTTGTTGTATAGATTTTGTAGACTGGTCGGAACAATTTTAAAATGAATAAATATATATATACCTGCAATTTTAATATTTATATATACATAAATTGATCAATTTTATTATAATTATGTGAGAACAATTTTAACCAATTCCAGGATCGCAATGCGTATGTGTGGTGTCAAGATGAGAGTGGCAAGTGGAGCCCCACTCTGGTGCTGCTGAGGATCAACCGAGCTGCTACCTGCGTGCGCTGGTCGCCACAAGGTTGTTTCATTTATTTACAGATTACTTCTATTGCGCATCCTTGGAACCTCATAAATTAGGATTGATAAGGAGATGGCTTACATGAGAGTTAGGATCTTCAGATATCTATTTTGTATTTCTTTGTTTTCATTAGAGTAAACAATTATGCACAGTTATAACTTAAAACAGTGTTACTTATTTCGTTTTTGGAATTCGTTTCTTATGCATTACAGATATTTATTATTGATTGCAGAGAACAAGTTTGCTGTTGGCTCAGGAGCTCGCCTGATATCGGTTTGTTATTTTGAGCAAGAGAACAACTGGTGGGTGAGTAAGCACATCAAGAAACCCATCCGCTCCACCATCACCACGCTCGACTGGCACCCAAACAACATCCTTCTTGCTGCTGGCTCTTCTGATTTTAAAGCAAGTTGAAAGTTGTTTTCATCAATGATGTTCGGATTCACTAAAAAATCCAATCCAAACTATTTACTCAGCAGTTTCAGGATTCACCTGGGATAGTTTGGGTTAAAGTAGAAGTTCCAAGTCCAATGCATGTGATTTTTAACACGTTTTTCTTAGCTTAGCTTCGCGTTTGTTTGTTTGTTTGTTTGTTTATTTGTTTGTTTGTTTGTTTGTTGTTAACATTGACAACGAAAATTAGCCCACTTCTAATTGTTCTAGAGATCTGAAATTCGGCATGTCAACTTTAATTTAAGGTTTTGAAGTTCTTAAGTTACCTTTTATTTTTTAGGTGCGAATTTTCTCTGCCTGGATCAAGGATATTGAACCGAAGCCCTCGGCCACGTCTTGGGGAGCCAAGATGCCGCTTGGTCAGCTCATGACCGAGTTCTCCAACTCGACTGGCGGAGGTTGAAACAAAGATGGGATATCATGATTATTTATCTTGATTTTGTTTGGCAGTTGAAGTATCATCAGTGACACGAGTTATTCGTTTTCCTTGTCTGCACTGTGTATTGGACTCTAAAACACTCACAATGACGTCATGTCGCTTACGGCACTCATGAAAGCCATCACCCGCAGTTGCTCGGATAACAGATCTAGTGTAGATGATTTGATGCAATTTCTCTAAATGTAGCTAAAACTAGTCGGAATTTCAATGAATATATTCCTGGAAACCTGCTTTATCTCAGGTGGTTGGGTGCACGGCGTGAGCTTCAGCTGTGATGGCAACCGCGTGTGCTGGGTGGGGCACGACTCAAGCGTGAGCGTGGCTGACGCGAGTCGCGAGATGGCCAAGACTCAGCTCAAGACGCCGCATCTGCCTTTCACTGCAGTCACTTGGATCAGCAAGAACACTTTGCTTGCTGCTGTAAAGAATTTTTCCAATTAAGTATTTTTTAAGGCTGAAGTCATTGATATAAACCTTTTTCAGTCTTGAAATGTAAGAAGTTTAGTCTTTGCCAGTCTAATGTTACCATGAGCCATTACAACTCTGTGAAAAGGCGCGACAATCAATTTAAAATTGAGATGTATATTTCTGACTGTCGCAGTCCAAAGCCGATTTGCCTGCCAACGAACTGAGTTGCAAATTTCAATTGTAATGATTTATTTTGAAGACTAAACTATTAAAATATCAATGTGTATGGTAGCGTAACTTTCAAGTGATTGTAAATTATTGTAGCATATTCAGGTATTCATTAAGAGAATTAAGATCGTTTGCATGCAGGATAGATTATTCCCCTGATTATTTTAAGCCGCAAAACTAAGAGCGTGCGTTACTCAGGGTCATGGCTGTTGCCCTATGGTGTACGCTGTGGAGGACTCAGGCAAGCTCACGTTTGTCTCGAAGCTTGACGTTGCTCAGAAGAAAGAAGCTTCCAGCCTCAGGTGAGTGCAAGCAATGGGTCAACTTTACTAGCATATTTCTCTCAATGCTAATTTACAAAAAAAAACCCTGACGCACAAATAACTCGGCAATTATCTCCAATAGTGGCACTGAAAGTATATGTATTGGTCTGAACTATAAGAGTATCACTTCTGGTTATATTTCTTCATAAACTGAAAATATATACAAAATTCGTCCCAGCAAATGAAAATACTCCCATCCTGATAATGCTCAGCTATCAATTCCACTGCTTGAGTAACTCCATGTACACAATGATGAGTTTGTTTAGTATCTTCTTTAATCGCCACTTGAGATTTGCCGACAAAACCTGTTAAGGAAAATATACTTTTTTTAAGTAGGATATTACTGGAAGTTGCCTGGGATAAATCTTAGGCATAAAGTTTTCAATTTTTAAAAAGAAAATGCCATCATCCGATTGAAAGTACCATCAGATTCTTCAAGATGAGCTGTAAAATTTAATCCTCTCCTTAAGTTATTATGGTCAAGCCTTCCTGATGCCACTTTTTAGCGCATTTTCTCATTTATGTTACTATGTGTGAAATTTTCCGAAACTCGCATCTGCTGCGTTGTACAAAGTTAACTTCCCACCTGTTCGTAATGTAGGTAGTTTACTACGCTGTTATTCGTCTCTCTGATTTCCATTATTGTGGTTCCGTGCCCTCAGAACCCACATTTTCCAATTCTCCCTCTGAAATTAATTATTCAGAGTTATTATTACCCCTGTTATTATTAACCCCGAGTTCCCTTCTTTATTTTGCCCCATAGTTCCGACGACACGCCTGACAGGTATGCCGGTCTGTTATTCATCGTCTTTAACCTTCAAAATGAATCATGCTTAAATACTTTTTGTAGTGTAATGTGTTTCCCTGTATACCTTTGAATCAACTTTATCCTCTCCAGAATATCTTGTATGTACTTGTTGTCTCCCTAGATGAGCCTTGGATTAGGAAAACATGCGTCTATTTATATCGGGAAAAAGATGCTCGTTTTTGGCGAAATGTCATGCCCTCCAAGTTCCGTGGTCCTGTATGCGCGCGTTTCAAATTCCTTTTTTAAAAAATTTGTTAATAGGATATTGAGCTGCAGTTTTAGGGTATTTCCATCATCAGTTTATTTTTCTATGCAGTTTTTTTAAGCTATAGACTGTAGGCTTAGACCACCAACTTTTAATGTTGACGCCTGTAGTTCGATTTTGTATTTTCGTAACAAGGAAAGCTCATTATTGAACAATTTATAAACAATGAATTAATTTTTCTTCTTAAATCGGTATTTTACCTGAAGTTAAAAATTAGTTGCATTCAGTTAACGCTTGGAAAATCTATGCATGATAATAACTTAAATGAACACTGGGGGATTTTTTTTGTCACGTTACAGAATGCACCGTAGAAACAAATTGCTCGAACCTCCTCTTGAATAAAAACATTACTTTTGATTATCGGAATAGATTAGGCTAAATGTGGCCTAATTCTAATTTTATAAGTGAATTCGAGAATACGACTATTCTAGACATAGCAGAATTTTCACAACTAGCTAGAATCAAAACCGCAACTCTTACCATTTTGGTGATTTTAATTTCAAACTCACCGCCACCTCATCGTTAGTCGGTGTTGTGATTACAATGAGAATGTTTAAATTAAAAATTTTAGAGACTTATTTGAACTCGTTTTGTTCATACGTTCCATCTCGTTTGCATGTAAATCGTCCCTTATTGTGAGGTTTTGCCTGGTACCTAATTCCATGTTGAAATAATTCTACATAATTATCGGCGGTTAAAATGCTAGTACATCGGAGTTTAAACAGTCCAATAGATAGTAGAAAGCTTTGAGTTTTTATTTCACACGTTATGAAGCTAGCGCGAAGCTGACTTGAAGTAGTTGAGACGGAGGTTTTTAGAAGCAGACGACACCGCCAGTCCATTTATTTTTATTTATGCATTGAGAGCCCTCCAAGAGGAGTGTGGTTTTTCGCCTCAATTGCAACGTTATTGTTTATACACTTCACTGTATAGGTTAGAGTGTATTCTGTTAGCAGGGATTGTTGCCCTCACCAGTTAAATTACACATTCTAGAGTTGAGCCGTAGTTTTGACAAGTTAAAAAATCTGTTCAGCCGTTAGTTTAATGCTCAGTGACACCAACTAGTACCTGAAATCTGATTAGAATAGTATTAAAGCAGAATATCTCCGTAGACTTGAGTTGTCGTTTGCCATGTTCTACTTAGTTGAGCGGTGGTGAGTAACTTCCTGCTTCGTGCAGCGCCATGCGCAAGTTCAAGTCGCTAGACCGCACAGCTCGCACGGACAGCAGCGACACGACACTCGCCACGCTGCATCAGAACACCATCACCGGCATCCAGATACTCAAGGGAGATAAAGCTGGCGCCACTTCTGTCTCCACTTGCGGCTCCGACTCCTACCTCATCCTCTGGAACTTCAAGGTACGAATTAAATATTTTTTTTATATTTTGAAGTTAGTCCTGCACACTTCACGACGATTGCACACATTGCTATTACTTCGGAATCACGATATGACCTCTTGTATGAGTATCTTCCTTTCTATTGGTTTCCACTTCGTCTGCCAAGATTCTGACGCTGCTTCTAGCTTACCAGCTTCTTTACGCTAGCCGCGTGTTAGCAATGAGTGATTTTTATTTTCGGTGACTTGTTTGTAGAGCCAGATAATTCAGTAATATCCGCTGCCCCCACTCGACACGATACACTCGTGCCATCCATCTTGTCAAGGTGACTGTTCCTGTCACATATTATACTGCAAGTAAACGACATAAGTCAGACAAAATTGTTATACCGGAAGAAATCTTCAATTCCGCTAGGCGCCCAAGAAAGAGCTATTGCATTTCCAAGTTGATCGCTACTCGCGAGTTAACTCAGAAACACTTAATTTACTATCCAGGATCTCCCCGACACGATAGCGGACGAACTGCTGTGTCATCCTATAACGGCTTGGATGGCTGAACCCCGTACTCAGGTTTCTGAATAAAGGATGTGTGAACTTGTGCTCGTTTCCATGTGTGGATTTCAGTTATTATTCGGCTTGGTGTTGTCTTTAATTTTTTTTTAACATCAGCAAGCAGGCGGCACCTAGCGAAACGAACTCTGAACTTATGTTCAAAGCAGGTTCGTTGAATTTGTATTGTTATCTCCTTTCAAATTAAAGTTAAGTAGGTTTTCGCTTTTATTATGGAAAATCGAACAACCTGAAATGCAAAACGATCAAAAGGCCATCCCGAAAATGAACTAGGTATATAAAAAGCTCTGGATACAGCAGAGGTCGTCGCGAAATCTCGGTAAAACTTTTCGTCGTGCATATGTCTTTTTTTTTTCTTGGAATTTCATTTGGGTCGCCGCTTGTTCGTCTGCTAAGCTCATTGTTATTATGATAGCACCGACTTGCTTCATTTCTAATAACCGACTAACTTTCTCCTAAAGGCGTATGTAACACTTTCTGTCCTAAGACATAACCATGTACCCGTTTTTTTTAACAACCATGATGAATCGTTTGCACTCGTCAAATTTAAAAATTCGTTCTTTCCATGATCTAAATTATTTTGTAACGAATTAACAAACTTTCCCTAAGTGTGATGAAATACTTATTTGAAGAAATGTGCAGATTGGTGGAATATGAAACCAAGTTTTCAGTTGCATAATATTAATAAGCAGCACAAATCTGCAATGCAAATCCATATCATTTTCCTTCATATATTTTCAGAGTCTGGAGGAGAGCATCGCTGAGCTGAAACTCGCCTAAACTTATCAGCAACTTTCGATGCACTAACACTTTGGAACAACGTAACATTTGCCATGAAAACTTATTCTTTGTAATATTGAGTGAAATAAAATTGATTCCCAAAATGTAATCATTCGGCAAACACCGCATTTCGTTATCTTAAGCCTACATTATGAACATAGTAAAATCTGCTACTTAGCAAATGTTAGCCACCGTTAGCGACATGCAAATAATCGTGTTATATCCGCGAACTCACAAAATTTTACTTAGTTTAAACAAGCATGTCGAGTTGGATTGTCTTGCAAACTTAATGTTTTCAATAACATAAATATAGATAAATTTTAGTTGTTTTTAGTGACAAATAACACGCCGTCTATAAGTAAAGAATGATTTACATAAATTATGATTTTTGTAAATCGCGTTGGGTGTTAAGCAAGTGCCTGTCAAGTTTCAACTGTAATGACTCAAATTTTGTGGAATTTATGCAACCTGGAGGGGCGAGGAAAGTATCTTGTTTCCCACGTTCCCTCGAGCTTGTTCGTTCTTAAAAGCCTTCCCTGAATTGCTTCGACTCCAGCTTAGTGATGATGGCTTCGAGTTGACGCCGCGCCTCGCACTGCGGGAAGTTGCCCATGTCGTAGTACGCAGGGGCCACCTTAATCAGCCACTCGGCTGCAAACAGAAAAAGTCGTAAGGTTTCTAACACGCGTCGAATGCATCTGACAAAACGGACCAATAAAGGTTTTGTGCGATGCCTGCAAACCGTTTTTCACCTATATTAGAAGCATCTTTATGAAAGGAAATAGTTTTGTCAAATATTGCTTACGTTTGATATCGGTGACGGTGCGGATGTAGTTCTTGGTGGTGAGCACAAATTCGTTGTACAGCACCCACTCAGGCTTGTGGTCAAGACAAGTAGAAGGATGCAGCTGCACCATTTGATTATCTTTGATCGTCAGATACTGCCCCGTCCGCTCAAGATGTGCGACCTTTCCAGAAAAATTAAAAAACCATTTGAATAAATTTTTGATGAAATTTTCTTGTCTTAAAATCTGCTGCTACCAATAATTTATATGCATAAAATTTACCGTTAACAATAAGGTATTCCACTCCAAAGACTGCAAGAAATCAATTCCAAGCTACAGAACTTGACGGAATTACCCAATTATAATAGACGAGAAGCTACAAGATTGAGCCAGTGAGCTACCTGCATGAAGAAGCCGGAGACGAGCGCCTTGCGGATGTTGATGTAGTAGTCGCGCGAGTTAAAATCGGTGGAGGTGCGCTTGAGGCTGAACCTCTCCATGATACGCGAGAGCTGCTGGCGAACGTTGTCAGCAGACTTGAGCGAGCGGTAGTTGATGAAGTTGTCATAGCACCACTGCACGTCTTCCATATCTGTATATTTACATTGCAATAAATAAGATTCAAGCAATTCAGAGATATTAGTTCCGATATCGAGCGCAGACAGCCCAGGGCTGAAATGATACACCATCGGGCCGTGATTCAACGTTTGGTACTTTCTAAATGATGACATATCTCTTCTAGTCCGTGACGTCAAGTCGCGGATTAAGTAAGCACCTATTTAGTCCGTAGTCCGTGACGTCAAGTCGCGGATTAAGTAAGCACCTATTTAGTCCGTGACGTCTCGTCTAAGTTTCGTCCCGGATAAAGCACCTATTTAGTCCGTGACGTCTAGTCTCAGTTTCGTCCCGGATTAAGTGAGCACCTATTTAATCCGTGACGTCTCGTCTCAGTTTCGTCCCGGATAAAGCACCTATTTAGTCCGTGAAGTCTCACTTTCGTCCCGGATAAAGCACCAATTTAGTCCGTGACGTCTCAGTTTCCTCCCGGATTTCTACAATGCGAATTGTCAAATTTTTATTGGTAATCGGCTTTTAAGATTACCTGTCTCGTAAAAATGAGACTGCAGACGCTCAGAAAACAGAAATTATTGGTCACTAAACAAGGGATGAGCAACAGAAGATTTCATTAAGAAACAATGAAGGGCGATGCCGAGTTTAGTGTAGCAAAAATATTCGATAAATTGAATTGATCTGCGGAGGTCAAGCTGATCTACTTACACGGTTCCTCAGGAAAAAGTAGTTCGTTCAATACTGATGAACTTGAAAATAATTCTAACAAAATCTTTCAGATAATAATAAAATTTCACTTTGCTAAATCAATGGGAAGACAATCAAAGTTATTTGGAATTCAATTAACTAGAGGTGAAGCGTGAAGGTTAGTTAAGAAAAGATACGCAAGACAACAAACAAGACGAGGACTCTCAAGTCTTACTTTGTTTGAAGGCGTGGTAGACGTTGAGAAGCGTCAGGTGATCGCCATCGATGTGCGCGAACCTCATTTTGGCGTCATCGGCGGCCTTCTTAGCTTCATTTGGTCTAACGAAGCATTGTTGAACTGAAGCAGAACAAAGACACCAACGCCTCCCACTCGACCCCCAGGCTGGCGCCTCCCCCACGAGGGGGGAGGACGACACAGCGGAGGGGGCGGGCGAGGGCGTACGGCACACAACATTTAGCGGGCATCTTCAAGGCGGCTGCTGGTCGCCCCCAAACACATCACCGATAACAACCTAAAACACTTACAAGTGTTAACCTATGCAAGCGGTAACATCAAATCCCTACACCTTACTAAACTCAACTGGTCGGTCAATAGGCTATGGTGTCGCCCGTTTGAACATACTAGATACTGTGTTTATTAACGACTTAAGGTTTCTAAAAAAATCTCTCATTTTCATTGCAGGCAATTGAACTTGTGTAGTAAACCTAATCGTCTCGAATGCTATTAGAGCGCAATAAGCTCGGGATGAACCTCCCACATGGAAAAAAGTTAATTTTAAATTATTATAAACTCTGGAATCAAAATTAATACAAAGCGAGGAAAAAAATGAACCAGCAACACAAATTCTTAATAAGCTAGTATTTAAGATACAAATTCCATAACAATTGGTAAATTTTTTTTTCACGAACAATACAATAACTTCGTACGTATCTCAATAGGAGAACACAATTTTATTCTTTAGTTAGTTTTCCTGAGAAACGGCGTCAAAAGCGAAAATACGCATTTGCTTCATCTCTGAATGTGTAACTTCAGCTACTGTCTCTGTCCCGTTCAGAATAGCCTCGAGGTATAGAGATGCAGCAGCAGCAGTAAGTTGGAGTGGCAAAGAAGGTTCTCACCTGATAACATGGCCGTAATTGAGAGGATTTCGTTGGAGCAGTTAAACTCGCAGGAGGCAATCACCATCTTAGCCAGCTGAGGGTCGAGTGGAAACTCGGCCATAACCGCGCCCAGCTCCGTAAGAGTTCCTGAGAAAAAAATTTGATATCAATGTATCAATATGGCAATTGTAAATATAAATGGTTTCATATTAAAATAAATCCCATGCTATCCATATCCTATAACACATTGATTAACGCCAAGCCACCATACTCATCCTGCAACTCGTGTCGCTAAGAGTGATCATATCAAAATTGTTAAACAAGACGCTTTGCACATAGGTACTAAATAATTTTCTAAACTTCAGACAACGCTGTATTTACAATTTCGATCAACAATACAAGCAGCATCAGAAAGACGAGCACAAGGAACCGAGTTAACTACGTCATAGCTGTGTTTCAAACAATGAAAGAGCAATTGATTAGCACAATTTGAAGCTTCCAAAAATAGAAGAAACAACATACTCTTACTGAGCCCTTCATTGTATGGCAAACGGCTAGCAAGGTCACTCCAGCACAAAAAACTATAGATAAAAAGAGACCTTCGTCGTCGAGAGCAGCGAGGTAGTTGAGGAGCTCCAGCGCGCGCATCAGCGTCTCGGGCGCGGGCGGATCCATGAAATCAAAATGCACGAGATCATCGATGCCGAGCTTCTTGAGCTGCAGCACCACGGAGCCGAGGTTTGAACGCAGGATCTCAGGATATGTGTTGTCCTGAAATTTACGAGTAAAATAATCGGACATAATAATTTGATTCATGATTACAGGGAAAATAATCATTCAATTAGTTACCTGAAATCCCTATGTCAAACAATTCAGTCCCTAATCAACCCGAATAAAAATTTACTACAAAAATTAACATTTGGCTGATGCATAAGATTAGAATACCAAGCGAAAATTATAAATTTAGAAGCGAATAGAAATTTATAGGCAAAAGTCTACTTAACTCAAACCTTATGCTAAGTTCAAAGCATCTGAAAACACCACAATTTTATTAACCACATAATAGACATCAGATTATTAATGAGAAAATGCACGATCATTTCAATGTTATCAAATGAATTGCTGAAATTTTTAAGTTTTCTCTGCCATTAGAAACGAACCTGCATTTCATTCTTGAAAGCTTTGCCAGTATAGAGCCTGAAGCATTTGCCAGGACGCGTGCGCCCTGCACGGCCAGCTCTCTGCTGAGCAGACGCCTTGCTGATGGGCGACACGAGCAGCGACTCCACACGAATGCGAGGATTGTACACCTGCAAAACGTTCATGAAAATTATACACTATTTAGACAAAATTAATATTGAAATTTCCAAAATTACCTTCATTCATTGATATCATCAGACATAGAAGTGTAACTTTAGACGTTTGAAGAAGAATCATTTGACGTTTTAATGTGTTTATTTGCATCAAGAGAACCTCTTATTTGTTTCTAACTTAGAAGAAATAAATTTACACAAAGACATTAAATATGTATTAGAAACTTTGAGTAACCTTTTGCTTGGCAAAACCAGGATCAATGACAAAAACAACGCCATCAATTGTGAGGGAAGTCTCGGCGATGTTGGTTGACACAACGACTTTACGGCCAAACGCTCCATTGGGTTTGTTGGGTGGTGCAGGCTCAAAGATCCTCTGCTGCAGGTTAGGAGGCAGCGTAGAGTACAGAGGAATGCACATGAGGTCACCCACTTCAGTACCAAGGGCTTCCACCTCACGCTTGATGCGCTTACATGCTTCCTCAATTTCTTCCTGGCCCGTCAGAAAGAGCAAAACATCGCCTGGCACTTTCTCACACATGTGAATCTGAAACGTAAAGGTTGCTTATGAAGGGATTTAAGAATAATCAGATTTGACAAATAATCATTCACAAATAATTAAAAAGGGATTGGCATAAGATAAAAACATGTGACATCCAAACAGATTACAATTAAAGAAGTTATGCACTAAAGAGTATATATACATCGATGATATCAGTACATTTATCCAATTTATTCAACTGTAGGATGAAATTTAGCAATAGGTGCTTGCAAAATTCTGGCGCTCACACCCTTTGAATTTCAGGTGTCACAAGATTGTCCAGATTGTCACAAAGGAGAGGTGAAAGAAACAATTTTCTCACTTGCATAACAGTCCGGATGGCTGCCTCAAGGTAGTCTCTCTCAGGCTCTGGGGTGAAGAAGATCTCAACAGGGTGAGTGCGGCCTGGCACATTCAGGAGGGGAGCGCCGTCAAAGTAAGTCTGGAACTTGCCAGCATCGAGGGTAGCAGACATGACGACAAGCTTCAGATCAGCTCTCTGCTTGAGCACCTCCTTGAGAACGCCCATGAGGATGTCTGTCGCCAGCGTGCGTTCGTGAGCTTCGTCAAGCAGAATAACCTGGTACAAATATAGCATATTAAGCAGGACAAACTAAAACAAATATTGCAGAGTAGCTGTGTCTAACATGAACATATACATTTATTCCTAAATAACCTCATCAATAGAAGTTAGATGATGAAAAAATCAATGTCAGGAAAAATAGATTAGCAATTCAAATTGAATACATCTTAAATTTGTCAAACAATAATTTAGATACTTATCAAATAAACGAGCACTATTGATTACTTCATCAGCATTGAGAGAACATATTAGGCCTTGATAAATAGTAGAGAACAGAGCTTATAAACGAACTTCTTTAGAAATCCAGCTTGGCATGAGGTTAATATGTTTTAAAGTATACTGAGGAATTCATTAAAAAATCAAAATATTTAAACACACAGAATTACAACGTCTTGCGGCTATTAACTTACCTGATAATTTTCGAGCATGGGGTCACTCATGGCCTCCCTGAGCAACATACCATCAGTCATGTACTTGAGGAGCGTGCGTTGAGATGAGCAGTCCTCAAAACGAATTGAGTAGCCAACTTCTTGTCCCAGAGATACATCCATTTCCTGCACATGATAAAAATTCAACAGGGCTGGAGTACAAAAATACCAAACAGCATTTCCTCGCAATTCTTTTCAGATACATACATCAAGCAAGAGAGGTTCAAGCAAGTTGAAACACAACATTAATTTGTGTCAGGCAGACAATATTAATATTCTTGCCACTGATAACATCTGGCAAAAGATATAGCAAACATTTGTGAGTGCCAAGATTTGCAAAGTTTACTTGTCTAGAATTTGTTTCCACCCTCACCAATGATTAAAAAATGGTTATTAACAATGAAGAACGAACCTCAGCTACTCTTTGAGCAACAGACATTGCTGCCACACGTCGAGGTTGGGTGCAGGCAACTCCTTTCTTGCCTTTCTTGCGGGCAAACTCAACACACCACTGAGGCATTTGAGTCGTCTTTCCAGAGCCAGTCTCTCCAACAAGAACAATAGCCTGGTGGTTCTCCATCAACTCAAAAAACTTTGGACGATACTCCCACACTGGCAGACCAATACGCTTTCTGCAAAAAAAATTACACAGATGCCAATTTCATCAAGCGCATACAATACAAAGAAATTAAAAGTAGAGAAGTAAAATCAAAGTGAATGGAACTTAAAAAATCAAATACAAACAATATTCTACAAAAGTAAACTAAGATTTCAGTAGTTTCTTGATAGAATTAAAAAAATTCACAAATAAAAATAAGACAAAATAGAAAAATATAAATGAATTTTGTCTTATATTTATAAGATTCTAGAGCACGAGCCTTTGCATAATTGTACAAAAATATGGTTGAATATCAAAAAGTAAATAAGCATATCTATATCATTTCAATAGATTATTCCTGTAAAAGAATATTAGGAGAGTTAACTTTTAAAATTTAATTTTATGTTGAGTCTGGAAGCCATGTCATACAATTATGTAAATAAGATCAACTGCACTTGAGCAATAAATCTTAGAATACATCTCTATTCGTTCTTGATGTGAGACAATCAAAACTTTAAATTTAGAATTACCTGTAAAGTTCATAATATTTTGGAGTGTAGGGGAGGTTGGTGAATGGATTGAATGGAAGGGCAGCACTTTTGGATGATGAAGACGATGAGCTGCTGTGCTTATCATCTTCATGCTGCCGACTGAAAAAAAGGAGGCTTGGTGAACATAGTTTAACAGAAGGCATGGTGAACATAGTTTAACAGGAGGCATGGTGAACATAGTTCAACAGAAGGCATGGTGAACATAGTTTAACAGGAGGCATGGTGAACATAGTTTAACAGAAGGCATGGTGAACATAGTTTAACAGAAGGCATGGTGAACATAGTTCAACAGGAGGCATGGTGAACATAGTTTAACAGGAGGCATGGTGAACATAGTTTAACAGAAGGCATGGTGAACATAGTTTAACAGNTCTTAAAATTCACCTTCATTCGAGAGTTATATGGCGATACGGGAGCGGTCGGACAAAAGCGCTTGAGCGTTAGCGTGGGTTACAGCGTGTGTCAGCCCGGCCCTGAGCCTGCCCTACACATGCTCTCCCTTTAGCCACGTTTTATTCCTTCAATTCGTAATTAATAATTACAAAATTTAACACGTGGTTTAACATGCTTATTGAGCAGTCGCGACGATTTTTTTATATTTTTTTTACCTCATCTCCTTTGCAAGTAAAACGGTAAAACGGGTGCAAACGGGCGAATTATGTCCCGTAAATACAAGGATTCATAGTAATTTCTTGAGGTGATGCTGAACTGACATTTATTGGCACCCAGTGGCATCATTAGGCCTAGTTAAGGAGGCTTCAGCTTTCTAAATTATTCCGAAGCATCTAAATAATTATTTGTTCATTCATATACACCATATTTATTTTTGGCAAAAGTAAAACAGAAAATACAAAAAAAGGATTCCTTAATATATGTTCAAATGATCAATCAAAGAACCAGTCAATATCTATTTAAATATAAAATATGAACATAAATTTTAATGGTCTCAGCCCTCCTCCCTGTCCTCAAAACCCATATTCGTCATTTCCTACTTCGATTTGTTTGCTTGTATTTTAGTTGTGTGATTTCTCGTTGCCTTGAATACGAGAACATATCGTCTACTACTCCGTTTGCTGGCGTAATTTATGATCGTCTCTTATTCTCTATATAGCTAGAATATTCATATTCTCATATTTCTGCAACTCATTTACTTATCGTCTCATAATCTCGTTTGGTACAGACGACAGTAACAGGATAAATTGGAATAGAGAAATTCATTGTAAATTCTTTTTGTTAATAAATCGATGTTTTAAAATTAAATCATATAATTTCTGGCAGATTTATTTGTGAAGAATTCCTCAGCTAAATTTCGCTCGGTAGCAGCGACTTAGGAACATACGTTTTCTTTTCGACAGTCAATGTCGGAATTAAGATATTTTTCCTTATATTATATTTCTATTTTCTTCATGTTAACAATCTGTTCGCGGCAGTAGCACTCTACCGCCCATTGATCAGTAAGTTTTGTAAAGGACTTGTGACTCGGAGAGGAATTTCAAACAGAAGTTTTGCTTAGGGAAATGGGTGAAGTACTTTTAACATTGTGAATGCAGTACCACCCACAGCAACACTCACATAGTGAGTGCAGTACCTTACTTATGACCTTATGATGAGTTTGGGACTTCTCTTCGTAATATGTCACTTTTTTGGAGGTCTCACTCTCAAAGTTGGGAGCCAGTCCGGTTATCATCTTCAAAGTGTACATGGTATGATATAACTCTCTCTCTTCCTCTCCAGTTAGTATTGCCCACAACTCATACTGTAACCTCTCGCAGTCTAGGCCATCTGTGATCTTCATCAACACTCTTGTATCGTCCGC